GGCATTCATTTTCCAATACTTCTATTCCCACTACTGCTGAAGTAGGTTTTGGAGGGGAGGATGAGGAGGCTGGAAGGGTTGGAAGGGAAGGAGAAGGAGAAGGGGGGTGGGAGGGAGCCGGCGGCGGGATGGAGCTTTGCGAGGGAGGTGACGGCGCATTTTGGGAATCTGAGTCCGCTGATGAGGGGCTCGTTCAGGGCGCCGCCGCCCGGGACGCCGTTGGCGGCGTATCGAGCGGGGAAGGGGGAGGAGTTGGGACAGAGGGTGGATGATTTGGAGGATGAGGCTGCGAGGAGGAATTTCAGGGTCGTAGTGGTCGTGCCGGAGGAGGTGGATCAGGTGGATTTGAGGGATGAGTTGCATGCAAGGAGGTGGTTGTATGTATATCGTGGTCTAGATGGCGTGTCAAAGCTGCCCGGCGGAGAGATCATCGGGGAGTGGGAGAAGGTTGAGGTCTGGCCGTGAGCCAAGATGGCTGGGCCGAGTCAAGGGCTTCTCATGGGGGAAGGCAGCAGCAGGTGACCGGAAACATTATCCTCCAGAAGAGGAGGGATCAACCTGCGAAGTGGCCGGTTGTTCACTTTCGGGCAGCTCAACCAGTAGATTACCGTTACGGATACCCCTTTCGGGTCCAGACTGTGCCAAGTTCACCTCCCACTCACTCTCTTATCAATCCCCACGTGTGAGCAAGGGTCGCCTTCCTTCAGGTTGCCAGATGTAACATGGCCTGAAATTAATTTGTGAATACGCATACAAGTACAATCTTCGCCGTGCGCAGGAATTGTTAATCTCCACATCAACTCACCGAAGAGAAGGCCAAGGGGGAACAAGGGTCTGGGCCGTTGACAGCCGAGTCCATGGCCCAAGCAGGCTGGCTACACCATGACGGCCGCTTGTGGGAAGTGGATCTGGCCAAGGTCAAGGCACGGTTAATTAACTGCCCCGACGTTTCTGAGCGTTATGGAAGAGATCGTCAGTTTGCTGGAAATGCAGAGATGATGGTCTCGGGGATCCAACTTGTATTTGAACTTGGCCGTTGCATCCAAGGACCTTCCTCGGCATTCAGTCAGCATGATGGCGACAAATGTCATACTTAACGTCAGATGCAAAAAGGTTGAAACAGTGTGGAATCTGTGGCTTGCCTCGAGTTTGCTTCGAAGAGAGCACAGACGCCGAAATTACAGGCATCCATCCAGGATTCATTCACAAGCACGCAAGCTCACAGAAGAGGAAGGCGCAATGGCTTTTTTTGTTGAGTTTTCCAATTGACGCTAGTTGACGTTTTCCTTTTATTTTTTTGCCATCCTTTCACCCTTCATGGTTTCATTCAAGCACGCCCAAGAAACGCCAAGATATTGAAGACCCGGCTGCCCGGTGCCAGGCTTGCTCCCAATGACACCTCTGAAAGGAGCCAGTCAGATAGGCCGTCACCACCTCCAATCCGGGGTAGCCCGTCATCAATGTCGCCCCCCACGCGCTCGAAGCACGCGAGGGTGGCACGGCGAGGTTGGATTGACATTGATGAAGCAACGGACCGCTGGATTGTCTGGAAGATCTGCTCATTGGAGGATCCATTCCATCATCACCTACCATCCTTGGAGCGTCGCCCGGTTATCTTTGGCTAACCTGGCTAACCCAGATCGGATCAGGAGGTTCGGGTGCGCTTTACCCCGCGTCACACCCACGAGGGTTGCTCTCTCCAAGAGGCAGGTCTCTGCTCGGTCAACCGAGCAGAGCATGTGTTGTTGACCAGCGTTTCTGTGGAAGCCAAGCCGCCCGCCCCCTCACGCCGCTCCGACGCACACGCGCGCCCAAGTTTCGAAAGTTTTGCAACGAGACGAAAACAACGCAGCCATGATCCCTGTCGGGTGCCGAAATTGAGAACTCGGCCGGTGCAAGTGCCGGCTCCACCGCGCAAGAATCCACCAAGATCGGATTTTCTCGTGGTCGGGCAGGTAGTTGTTCGTATCTCGCAAGCTGCTCCTGCTGTGGTCCCGTGTGAGGATCAACACAAGAAAAGCTCACCGCTTGGTTGTCGTGTTCACGCTGAACTGCCGTGCCCGCCGCATGGGGCTGACATGAGCAGCAACCCCGCGGTTGTGGTGCCTCGAAGGTGCGCAACCGAGCTCCGCCATCGCCCAGCAGTGGAGATGTCCAGTTGATAAGGCGACGCAAAAGGCGGGACGGGTCATGCGCATGCTGCCTGTGCATCAACAGACCACAGCCAAACCGAATTGGCAGCGGTAAGATAAGTCAGCCACTTACACCGCCGCCGCCCGGTACATTGCCAACTCAACCATGCTTACCGAGTACCAGCACGCTCCTTCGCTGCTTGGTGACGTTGGGTTGGCCTGGGTGACGCGGGATGCGGCGGCATCCCAGGAAAGTTACACGCATATCACAGGAGACCCGCCTCTCAGGATTTGCATTTAGCGAAACTGAGAGTGGCCCACACCCACTGGCCCTGGGATCCCATGCGCTCGGCAGGATGGATAGAGAGCCCATGCAGCGTTTTACGGCTGCGGCAGGCAGCCTTTGCCGCAGCCCACTCGGCCCTCCGGCCTCACCCTGAGGCCTTGCGTGCATATTATTAGTCCAGACCCTCCCGACTCCACGACCGGGCTCTTCTTGTTGCCCTGCCCTGCCCTGCATTGCACATGCTCCTTCTCCATCTCACGTCTCTCTCATCCGGCCAAACAAAGTTTTCGAAATCACACCCGACCCTCCTCCTCACCTAGACATCTCCCCCCCTCACGAACCGCAACCCGGACACTAGCTCTCACAATCACATTGTTTACTTGTATGCTGCGACCCGCCAGGTCCCGTTATTCCCGGCAGCCGAGCACACAAAAAGCAACACCACCAATCCGACGTCATTGTTCCTGCAGCGCCGTTGAGTTACCCGAGACCCTGGGACGATCGAGGACGAACCCAGAAAAACCACCTGACGAGGTGTTTGGAGATACCGGACTCGGATAGGGGGAACACAACCCAACCCCCGCCGTTCCTCCTTGCAGTGCAGGATGACGAACGCGGCGTGCCCAGAGCGCTAACCGCTTCCATGGCGCTGTATTCGGATCCCCCGCCCTTACGACCCTTCAGCGAGGTCAAGCCGACGTTGCTAGTGTGCTGGTGGATCACCAGCTTCTGCGCTGTCATCATCGCACTGAGGGTCATTGGGCGGTTCATCCGGTCTGAGAAGTTGTTCAGCGAGGATAAGACCGCTGCCCTGGCGCTCGTGCCTCTGTTCCTGCGAATGGGCTGCGTTCATGTCATCCTAATTTATGGCACCAATAACGTCCGCCTAGAAGGGGCTGAACTTTCAGACGACGAACTCCACAACAGGTCCGTCGCGAGTGGCTTGGTTCTCCTGAGCAGGGTATTCTACGCCGCGACGTATGTGACGTCTTCAAACCCTCTCCGCCCCGCACCTGTCTCTGATGAACTTGTGTGTAAAAAGAAAGCTAACCGTTATGTGTTGTTGCTTGCAGCCTTTGGATCCTCAAGTATGCCATCCTCGAATTTTTCAGGAGGCTCAATATCACTTGGAGACGGACATATGACTTGGCTCTGATGTTCATTCGCGGCCTCCTCATCACGACCTTCATCGCCGTCCTGATAAGTGACGTGGCTGAATGCCAGCCTACTTATCAATACTGGCAGGTACTCCCTGATCCAGGGGGCCAATGCCGTCAGGGGTATGCACAGCTCTTGACCATGGCCGTCTGCAACGTCGTGACGGACTTGTCCCTGGTCATGTTCCCCGTTCCTGTCATTCTTAGCAGCTCCATGAGCGCGAAGCGCAAGTTGCAGCTCGTGCTGCTCTTCTCCCTCAGCATCGCCCCCGTCATCGTCACCATTTACCGGGTGCCACACATTATCAACGAACAGGGAAGCCAGCAAACCCGATCCCTCTACGCTTCCATCGAACTGCTTTTCGCAACCGCTGCAGCCAACACCCTCGTACTAGGATCGTTTGTCCGCGACCGAGGCGTCAAGAAGCGAAGATTCAAATACGACTCTGTCGCCGCTGTCTCTGCTGATCACTCATCCGCTTCCGAATTTCGACGACCAACCGCCCTCCGACATTGGGGTAGCGACGAGGACCTCGTGCGAGACCTAGGCCTAGGCGTGGCGCCCGAGCTGCGCGACGCGCACCCCTCGCCGACCGAGAACCGCCAGTACATTCCCGCCCCGCGCGCCGCCATGCACCAGGACATGAACGCCTGGCGCTTCCCGGGCTACGACGGGCCCGGCCTCTCCCGCACGAGCGACGACCCCGCCGGCGACAAGTCCACCCGCAGCGACTCGACCGCCACCCACCGCCGCGTCTCCTTCTTCGACTACGGCGGCCTGCTCGACGACCAGCCCCCGCCGACGGCGACCACGATAGGAACAGCACCAAAGCTCCCGCGCGCGAGCTCCTCCCTGTCGGGCAGCGACGGTTCGCCGATGCGGCGGCCCGAGCCCGCTGTCCCGGCGAGCGGGAGCGGGTTCCGCAGGGGCTCGGCCGCGCTGCTGCAGGATCTGGGCGGCTTCTTGGTCCCCCCCGGCGCGAAGGGTGCATCGAGATCGTCCAAGCCGAGGACGAGGAGTGGAAGTAGTCTGTCGCCGATCAAGCAGGCGAGGAAGGAGGAGGAATCGAGATCCCCGCCGCCGCAACCGAGACCATCGCCGCCACCGCCGCCTTCACAGCCACAAGGTGGGGATGGGGAGTGGACGGGGGAGCCGCGGCTGATGGATGTGGGTGGGTTGTTGGGGACAGGGGAGCAGAGGGGCTGAGGTGGTCTGGGAGAGGGGGGGCAGTGGAGTGGTTCAACTTTTTTTGGGGGGAGGAACAGGGCTGGGAGGGTATTTTGAACTTGATCAAGAGGCGTTTCTGGAGATGCCGCATAGAATGGGTTCGGCTCGTTTGAATGAGGTGGGAATAGACGGAAGGGGCGTTGGGGATTTTGCTTGACACGACATTTTACGGGGGGTGAACGAACATCACCCCAGGGCGGTATATTTGCGCATATTTCGGGTGGTACATCGTGGACCGTCCCTACGGGCGCGGACGCAGATTGGGTCTGGTTATGGCTGGCTGGTTGTCACTGGAGGGGTGGTGGGTGTAGGGAAGCGTGTGCTGGGTGGACTTCTTCTTTTGTCACTCTGGTTGCTTTCACGTGCGATATACCCCCGGCAGCAATGCTGCTCTGCTTCGGTTTATGAAGATATACCTGATGTAGCTAGACATCATAACGTAAAGATAATCACTATTACGTTTGGAGATTTGGATGTTATCTCGCGGCCGAGAAAAAGATGCTGTGGTGTGAGCTTCTGTCGTCGGCACTTCTCCGTTAGTCTGCCTCAAACTCCCCGTGTCTTTGACAGCCTACCTTCCAGTTCCGAGGCTGGGAATGAAAGCGGTGCGGGTCTTGTACAGCATCATTTTTTGCTCTACCTTTGCACGAAACTATTACCACCGTCGTCGTGTGTCCTTCTCACCCCACTAGACCTGGCCAGCTCTGAGCGGCACGAGCCCCCCCCCCCCTCCCCAGCAGACCCCGCCGTGTTTGATCGTGTTTGAGGAGCCGGGCAGTTTGCAAGACACCGTGGATAAGCCCAAGCTGCGTTGAGACTATTGCTCTCGCCGCACTTTCTGGTGTTGGGATGAATCTAGGGTCCGCCTGGTTCGGTGTTTGGGGGGTCCTAGAGGGGCAACTCTCGTAGACTAGAGCTGTTACTCAACCTCGGCAAGGGATTCAAGAAGAAAGGAAGCCGCGGCAAAGGTGTGTGGCAGGCTGGTAGGTGCCGGCGGTGGACCTGATTCAGACTGCGCTGATATAGGCGGATGGATAGACACGCCACCCGCTTTGTGGAGGAGGACAGGGCCTGCGGGTTATGTCCCGCTGGAGAACAGGTTAATTGATGAGGGAGTGGGGATGAAATCAGTTGCACACTAGCAATCACTAGCAGAAGATGCATTCATTAGCTACGACCACCTAGTGAAGGACAAACACAACAAAGGCGGCCGTACAGTGAGGGCACCGGCCTGGTGGCTGGCTGCCCCCACTCCGATCCGTAATGCCTTCTACTGCATGCTATCGGACATTATTATCCATTTGTCAAGTGACCACCCAACTTGACGTACATGAGCCAGCAAACGAGGCCATGCTGTGTCCCTCTGTCCGAGAGCGGGGAGAGGGACCCAAACATGGCGATGCATGCCCCTACAAACCCTCCCCAAACGCCGCAGAATATGAGAAAATGCAAACCCCAACCAGCCTGATCGAAACGCAAACGCCCTCTTTTGGTTTAATTTAGTTTCGGGGCAATCAACAATCGGGGGGTTGGTTGCATGTCCCTCCCGTGCGTGTGATGCCCCTCCCCTGGTGATCAACTCCCCGCCGTCTCAGATCTCCCGCCTCATACGCACAGCCGATAACTAGCATACCGCCCCGCGGTCTCACTCGTCCGTATAATCTTGACAACTTGACCCTTCTTAAGCCCCAGGTAGCGTGCGATGGGGTCCTTGGACAGGATGCGCGGCAGCTGGGTCTCCTTGAGGCGGTAGCGCTTGAGCAGGGCGGTCTTCTCCTCGCGGCTGAGCAGGACGTGCTTAGGCACCAGCTCGTGGTGGGTGATGTTGACGAGGAGGTCCTCCTCGAGGAAGCACTCGATGAGGGTGTACTGGGAGGTGACGGTCATGACCTTGCGGGCCTGGGCGGAGAGGGCCACGGCGGTTACGAGGATGCCGGCCTTGAAGTTGTTGGTGCCGCAGTGCTCAACAAATTTCTTCATGACGTTGATGCCAATCGACGCCTTTTCCGGGCAGAACTCGACCCAGATGGTGCCGCATTCCGGGGCAGGGTCGGGGTTGGAGGGGGTTGGTGGCGGGGTGAATTTCTTGATCATCGACTCGGAGGGACGGGCGGAAAACTGCATCTTCGAACGGCTAACCAGGAGGGACGGAAGGGTTAGCAGTTTCTAAAAGAAAACGAAGCGCAGCCGATGGGAGCAAGAGGGCGTACTTGGGGCTGCCGTCGTCATTTGTGTATTCCAAACGGAAACGGTCGAGGGAGATCTTGACCTCGTCTTCGGCCAGTTCGTAATCCCTGCAGAATTAAGAGTTAGCATTCCGACTTCCGACACCCGACAAAGGAAACGAATTCCGTGGTCTCAGCATTGCGTACTCTATCCTGCACCATCTCGTGGATTGTCCTCCATGATCGCCACAGGCGCGTAACCTCCTTCGCGTGCACGCTGGCGCTGCTCTCTTCCTCCATGGTTTGTGACGTTAAGAAATTGGATGGGGTCGGTTTAGAATTAGGGTAGAGTTCGGTGGAAAGCGTTGTGGTCGCTGGCAATGATTGCGTAGGTTCGCGGGGGTTGATGTTGCGACGATGGCCACACGGTGCTTGAAAGAAGCGGCGCGACGCTCAAAAAAATGCGGCTTTGATGCCGCACGGCTGCAGATGGGTCCGGCAACGATTGGCTGTTATGCGTACGGAGGTGTGAGACTAGTTAACTGCATAAGTACACTGTATGGCTCAAAATACATAGATACCTAGGCCTTTGCCCTGTAGTTAAGATACCTAGTTATTCGCACCAGGTTCTCGTCCCATATTTTGGGTCAACAGAATGACGTTGATTATTTTATCGCAATCGAGAGAACGGCTCAGAGGTTGAGATCAAGACCGGTGGGGTGAGAAAAGACACTGTGGAGGTCGGATTGCGTCTCCGGCTCCAAATAATCGAATAATCGTTGCAGCTTTTATGCTTGGTAGATGCATACTCATGGGTCTATGTGCATCAGAAAGGCCACGGCGGCCAGAATCGCCGAAATTTTGGTGATGCATGGGTAATTTTGGTGGACCATCCCATCTTGTCGTTGTTGTCAAGAGGATCGAAGGCCACAAATTCGCTATTCGAAGGGTACCTTCTCACCTGCCTGTCTCCGCTCTCTTCCTTTCTTCCTCCAACGATTCCCATATATTTACTTACGACTCTATTTATTCCTCAATTTCTCTATTTCTGTTTTGAAATGGCTACCGAAACCGCTTCCCCGGCTGCGGCCAACACCAACACCACCGCCACCGAGACCGTCACCAAGGTCTCCAGGCCAGACGAAGAGGCCTACAAGAAGGACCTGGCAAAACTCCAGAAAGAGCACGATGACGCCCTTGGCCGATTCGTATGTGCAGACCACCCGCATTTGCCTCTAATCAGCTTCTCCCTCCACCTGCTTCTCTATTCCCATCATCAATCGGTCCAGAAACTGACTTTGTGTGTCTGCTACAGAATGCCGCCAGGGCCAAGCTCGACAGCGCTTTGCCCAAGCAAGGGCAGGAGAGCCCCCTACAGGCACGGAAGAAGGCGTTGCAAGCCAAGGTCGACGAAATCCGCGCGAAGCAGGGCTCTGGAAAGACTGCCCGATCCGGAAAGCTGGACCAAATAAAGTCCCTCGATGAGCAACTTCGCCGTCGCATCACCGAGCAGAACGCCGCCCGTTCCAAGGTCGCTTTCAAGAGCGTCGAGGAGATTGACGCCAAGATCAAGGACCTCGAGCGGGACGTCGAGAGCGGTAAGATGAAGTTGGTTGAGGAGAAGAAGGCTCTTGCCGAGGTCAGCAGCCTGCGGAAGCTCCGCAAGAACTTTTCCGTCTTCGACAATGACCAGAAGGCCATCGACGATCTCAAGCAGAAGATCAAGGAGATCAAGGACAGCATGGAAAACCCCGAGGCCAAGGCCCTGAGCGAGGAGTATAGCAAAGTCCAGGCGGAGCTGACCTCGGTCAGAGCGGAGATAGATTCCGTCTATGGCAACCTGACTGCTCTGCGCAACGAGAAATCCGAGCTCCACAGTGCGCAGCAGGCGACCTGGTTGGCGCTTAAGAAGCTCAAGGATGACTACCACACTCAACGAAAGGCCGCCATGAAGTGGGAGCGCGAGGTGAGGGAGAAGCGCCGAGAACGCGAGCAGGCAGAGCGCGACCGCATTGCCAAGGAACGCAAGATGGCTCGGGCTCAGGAGATGCTGGCCGAGGCCAGCGACCCGGCTTTTGCGGAGCAGATTCGCCGCGCTAACAACCTGGTGCGCTTCTTCGACCCGACCCACGCCGTCGAGGAGAAGGCGCCCCTGCTCGCTGACAAGGGCCTCGGCGCGTCCGCCCAGCGCAAGGTAAACGCCACCGGCTTCGAGGGCATGAAGCTCGTGCGCAAGGAGGACCGGGAGGAGGATTACCTCCCCGCTGTTAAGAAGGGCAAGAAGGGGAAGAAGAGCCAGACCTCTGAGACAACCGCCTCGAAGTTCAGCTGCCCGCCGTCCGTGATCGAGGACTGCACCTTCGTGGGCGTCAACCCGCCCATGAGCGCGGCCGAAGTGCCGGAGGTCATCGAGAAGGTCAAGGGCAAGATTGCGCAGTGGAAGGCTGACCAGCCGATCCAGACGCAAAAGGTACGCCGACGATATCTTTTTACCCGCGCACGACCATATTGCTAACCCTCGCCTAGAACATTGACAAGGCCAAGAAGGAGATTGAGCGCCTCGAGGCCGAGGAGGCGAACGCTAACTCTGGCTCCAACACGCCCAAGGAGGCGAACGGCCAGAAGGGCGACGCCGACCAGGCCGTCACCGACGCCGCGGAGAAGGTCGCCGAGGTCTCGCTCACCGAGGCGAGCGAGACGCCTAAGGAGGTCGAGACCACCGCTTAGACCCCAGAGCGGCAGGCGAACACCAGCCAACCACCCAGCGCCTCGGCCTCTCTCTCCGCTACCAGCCACACACCGTTGCGGGTTGCAGGACAACGATTAGGTCCGGGTGTGAACAGGCGGTGATTTATCCAACGCCCTTTTTTTTTTATTTTTTATATAGCATCCGTGCTTAATGTTATTGTTCTCTTTTTTTCGATGGGCATCCCCCATTTTCACCTCGTTTTCTCGAGGGATGGGGATTTTGACGGTGGCCGTTCTGTTATTGTCTCGCTCGGTTGTCGCCTTCTCGACATGGCCAGGCTTTTCTTGTATCTACCTTGTTATGGGGCTTTGATGGCGAGCACGGGACGGAAAACGGAGCGCGGCCAGGGGCTTGGTTGGGTGTATATATATCTCCAATCCCACCCTCTCATCCCAATATTGCCCCCACGGCGTCGTGTGACATGGCCCCCCCATGAATATGCCGGTGGGTTCCCCCGCATATCATTATCCAAGACACGCCGCCGCTGCCGCCGAGCGAGGCGTTGCCGGCCGGCCCGATTTGCTGGCCTCGCCCAACACTGTGCCCGATGCCTAGCCCACCATGCTACTTTGCTCCCAACCCGTGTTATCCGCCACATATTTTGTTCGCGGCCACACTGAAACAGGTTTTAAACTGCTCGAACCCAACTAAATCCGGCCTTCACCCACCGGCGCAAGACAGAGCGTCCACGGTAGGGTACATGTATGTATATACAAACACCTCCAAAAACCCGCCATCACCCGTGCTGCGTCGTGGTAGTTAAGTGGAGAACAACAAGAGAGTCCATCTCATCTCGTGACCTTTCTGTTGTGTGTTATGTTTGCTGTCCCGACATCCGCATCCGCTGGCACCCTCCACTGGCACTCCATGTTTCGGGATCAACGTTGGGCATCACCCGCGCGCTCGCCTCGCTTAGCCTCGGGCCCGTCCCGTCCCTTCTCTTCCCTTCCGGGGCGTCGGGCGTTTGCCACGGATCCGGCTGTTTGCTCGGGATAGGAGGGAAATGTTTGTGTTGTTGTTTTGTGTTGTATTGTGTTGCCTCCGTCTGCCTGGGGTAGGCTCTTTATCTCGTGGCATGGCATGGGTTCACAGGGCCATGACACGTACATGCTTCGGTCAGGTTGGCTGGTTGTATTTACTTTGGGTCTGAACAAGACGCATAGTGCTGAGTTGTGTTGACAACGGGTGAGTGGCCCTTTGCATCCATCTTTTTTTTTTTTTTTTTTTTAAGGTTTAGGGGGCGTGTGAAGTATATTTCCCGGTACCAGAAAGGAGCGTAGTATGTGGTCTCTTCATCCACTGGCCAAAAAGCAGGACTTTGAAAGGCACTTGAGGTGTTGTGGCTACCTACACTGGGGGTCCTAGCAGCAAGGACTCGAGGAGAAGAAAACCAAATCAGAAGGCCCAAGAGTGAGATTAAACAACTAAGATTCCTAAATCAAGAAGACAAGGGGATTAAAAGGGCTACCAAACTGAGAAGAAAGCTATGTTTAGAAGGAGACTGCTATATTTAGAAGAGAACTACCTATATTTAGAAGAGAAATTAAGTCGAAAGTAAGAAACTCGAAGTGAGAAGGAGGAAACCAAATCAAGAGCTTGGAAAGCAAGAAATTGAAAAGAGAAACCAGTGATCAGATGAATCCATAAGTAATCCTAATAGCCTACAAAATCCCCTAGCACTTTCACAGGCACAACGGTGTGGGTATGCTGTGTCTATTGTTCCGGCGGCTACAGGACCAACCTTGAACCGCCTCGGACCACCACCAACCGTTACCAACCACTAAAGTGAGGTATACGATACTACGACATGACCTATTCTGCAGCCTTGGTGTTGGGAATTACTTCGCGCCGAGGCGGGGATCCTACCTTTAATAAAGTGCGATCTAATAGGCTTGATGTGTGTCTAAGTTCTGGCAATATAGAAGCCAAATCACCCGTCGCAATGACGACTCTCGAAGAAAGAGTGAAAGAGATCCTAGAGGTTGGAGCCAAAATCGAGGCGATCGAAGAGAAGAGGGAGTTGAGCACTAAGTTGAAGGACCAACTGATTAGGCAAAATGCTCTCGTCGCAACCATCGACCCAGATGTCCTCAATATGATCTCGCGAAGTGCATCTGGGTCGACAGAAAAGCGTCATGGGCGTGCGGCCGTCAACATCACCGACTCGGTCATAAACGCCCGGAAAAGGATCGTGGAGATCGATGAAGAGATGGATGAGGCGGAAGAGGAGCTTGAACTGTGGCGGGTCGAGCTTGAGAAATTGCAAGGGGACCTGGATAATGTGTCGTTGGATGAACTTGAACAGCTTCAGGAGAACAAGCAGCGGCTAGAAGAAGAGCGTTAAGCATCCCCCGGATCAGGAAGAGGCGGCTCGCCGGATTCTTGCCTGGATTCCTCTGCAAGGCTGGCGGGGCGCACGCCCAATTTCTCCAAGTATTGCGCATACCGTTTCGACTCCCTCAAACGTTGTTGAACATCGAGGGAGAATTTTCCATCTGGGCCATCGCACTCGTAAAACTGTTTGACTTCCTGCCCCCAAGAAGATTCGTAGAACATGGGAAAGACGCCCCTGTAGTATGCGTTGACGAAAGAACTATGATGTCCGAAGATGACGGCTAACGACATGTCGATGCGCCTCGGGAGCTTCCGGTTCCACTCAGAAGCGAGTTGACGACAATGCTCAGATGTGTCTGCCCAGAGAACGTCGCGAAGCCAGCGGTATTCGATCCGAAATTCCACACCAGACACCATGTCCGGAGGGCATCCTGCAATCCATGTCGGTGGTAGGAAGAACTGTCGCGGTACCGTCCTTGCCCATTCCCAGTCGATGATGCCCTGAATCTGCATGTTCTCGTCAACTATGATATTAGTCGGACGAAGGTCCGTGTGGGTCAGAACAAAAGGATGCTGATTCTCAACGATGTTAGGCAGTCTGTTCTTCAGGTCCTGTAGCGCAAATACCTCGAGCTCTGCGACTTGCTGAGACAGCTTTTCCGGCGGGAGCCTAAGACTCTCATCAAGGAGGCGGTATTGGTAATAGGCATAGTCGAGGGGGGTAGCAAACTTGGTCGGCTGGATGGATAAGCTAGGGTTGTCACGTTGTAGATCATTTATTTAGTTGTATAGAGAGCAGCGGGCCGACACGTGGAGTCGCTCCCCCGTGGGGGTCCGGCATCAAGGAGCCCGCATAAGGAAATTCTTGCTGCCGCAGTTGAGCGAGGATGTCGACGAGTTGCGAGTAGAAGTGTTCTCTCCGTGGCAGACCGCCAAGCCTGAAGTCGACGAGATTCAGTGGCTGGCCGACAATATAGCTCTGAACGATGTATGTATATCCTGTGGGGTTCTTCTCGTCGGCGGTCCCACCGCGGCCGAAGGCGTGGATATGGGGTATGGGTATCGTCGTATTGGCTTCGAGGTAGCTAGCCGCTTGGTTAGAACAAGTAGCATAGGGCAAATGGCATGATCATCTCACCGGACGGTAGCAACTTCGCTCTATACTTTATCCCAGACATTGGAGATATAGGGCACCAATGGAAATCTCACAACCCATTTCGTAGCGTCCTCGAACTCGACGAAATAGCAGACATTGTAGCCCCCGTGCGCATGATCTCGAAATATCCGGCAGGGCTTGGACGAATTGTGCTGCGAAGCTAAGTTGCAGACATCATTTGGGTCGATGGAGTCAATGAAAGCCTGTAGGGCTTTTTTACATTGCCCATCGGTTAGCGGGAAATTTTCCATGGGATGATACGCATTGTGGTTTTGGTGAACGGAAGGTGGGAAAGCAGCAACCTCTCGATGTTGGGGGAACCAAAGATGGACAAGGGACAAGGGGCATGCTCTCCTGCCAAGTTGAGCATTCTACAACTCTAACCTGCACTTAGATTGGCAAGAAGCGCTGCTGGAATACGGAAGGCTTGATTCAAGCATGAGTGGGAGATCCGAACGCACGCATTCCATCCCATGAATTCATAAGTGGGCATATCACCAAATTCAAGAGATGTCACAGGCAGCTGGAACCAAAGCGAGATTGTCACATCTCAATTCCCTATGTATCGTATCCTCCCTTCCTCCGCATCATTACCTATGTACACAAGCAAGCGCCTCTGCCCCAGGCGAAGGGGGTGCGTATCCCGCTCAACAATACCAGACGGATCCCTTCGGACCCCTAGAGCTAGCTTGACGCTGAAGCCGCCATCATGGCCGTTGTCGCCTCGAAACCGACCCCCCCCTCTCTCTCCCGGAGCGCCGTGCCGACCGCCCCAATGGAAGGTTATACCAAAAAGAGACGCCAACGTCGGCCGTCGATTACCCGTGCCCTCTTTTTTATTTTTCGCGAAAATCCAATCTCATGCTGTTCAATCCATCCCCCATCTGTCGGCCTGCGTCACCAAAACGGCCGACCATTTCTGGTTTGGGCCTGTGGATAGATAGTAGGTCCTCGGGAGCGCAAAAAAATACACCGCCAACGCCGGGCAAGTGAAAGGAGAAGAGGAGCGAAAAGCGTATCTTGAAGAAAACCCGTGCCGTGATCCGGTTCCTAGACATAAGAAAATGGTCACGTAAAGAAGTTCTGTCCCATCCGGATGTGAGACAATCCCCGAGGCCGTTTGTACACTCAGGCCTCGCTGTCGAAGAAAAACAAAGGCAAAACAAACTCCGAGATGCCATCCCAGAAAAACGCAGCCGAGGCTATGCAAGTCGTGTCGTGGAATGTAACCGTAAGAAACCCAAGACATCATGCTCTCGTAGACTCATCAGCGTATCGAAGGAGATGGTGGAGGCGATAATGATTACGCAAATGACGTGATTGTAAAGCGAGTGAGCCTCCTCCTTTCGCGCTGCCCTTTCGGTCGGTTACCCTCAATGGGTGTTGAAGTCAACGCCCCTTAGTAAGGCTGCGGATAGTATGAGGGTGGTGGCGGTGGCGGTGGGGGCGGTCCCCGGTAAGACTGCCTCCGCTCTCGCGGCGCCGGTGTCCTCCTCTCGCGCAGGGGCTCGAGCGGGGGTGGCGTTCGCCCTCGGGCGGCCATGGGTAGGTCTCTTTCATGGGCGGTGAGGCTGGGTCCACTCGCCACGGTAGTAGCGGCGCCAACACGCCGCGCGCCTTTGCGGGGACCCCCGTTAAGGGCGCTGAGAGGCGGGTCCTTTACGGCTTGCTCGTTATCGTCGGGAAGGGTCAGTTCAACCAAGCTGTAAAAGTATTCGAGAACTTCCGGGTAGCGCTGTACCGACGCCTGCCAATCTTCGTCGATGCCTCGCTTTAGCTGCGCCTGGGCGGCGGCAAGTTCATTAGGGTGCGGCTGGGAATGGTAATAATGGTATGCGTGGGCGGATAGGCGTTCCAAATGCTGGGCGTGAGCCGCCTTGCGTCGCTCTGTGAGAAGTCGGAAGTATTCGAGGATATAGTCTTGCGCATGAGCTCGGACCCACGATCTGAGAATCAGGTTAGCGCGCTCGTTCATATTAGAAGGTAGGGAAGTAGGACGAGACAACTCACCGGATGTCATTGTATATCGACTGCATCATGCGGCTCTCGGCTTGCCTGACGGCGACCTCTAGGCCCTTGGCCTCGCATTCGCAGGCGAGGGCGGCCGGAGCGTGGCAGATGGCGCAGTCTGGATCCATCCTGACGACCCCTTTCCGGGATTTGGAATTGTAATCTCTGGGATACATCGTTTTAGTGCTTTGCGTTCGAAACGTGCTGAATGTGTTTGGGTCATGTGGAAGGGGGAACGGGGGGGGGAGGACAAAAAACAACACCAAGTCTTAACCTAGTGATACAGAAAAGAGGCTGACATGCGTAGAGTGGCCATGGTCTAGATCATGGCCGGAAGATTCCAGGGTCCAGCCCAGAATAAGAGGACAAGGGCGAGGTAGCGGGAGAGAAGAAGCGGGAGGAGAAGCAAGATGATGTGGGAGGACAGAGGGCCAGATGATAGGGAACACGCAGCCCGGCGCGCTGGGTAGCAAGAGGACGGGAAGAGGGCGTGGATGGGCTGATGAACTGACCTGGGCTAGGAAGCACGCAAGAAGGGACGGGAGTCGAGCGGCGGCAACAAGAGTAGGGCGTCGACACAGGTAAAGGGGGAGGGGGACAAGGCCGAGTTGCTGCAGTTCGTGCGTCGTGTGCTGGACGACCGTGGACGAGGAAAGCCAGAAGCCGCAGCAGGACGAGACACCACGTTTCCCGGGGCAGGAGGAGGAGAGAGAAGAGACACAGAGTGGTTGCAGGAGACGGTGTCGAGTCAGGATCGATCTGGGGACAGCAAGCGGCTCTGTTTGGCGGAGAGTGGCCGAGGATGCAGCAGAACCAGCAGGACCAGCAGGACGAAAGCAAGACGAAGCAAGAGGTCGCAGGACGTCGCAGGAGGAGGTGTCGATGGAGTTGGGCGGTAGTCCAACAATGGCCCGGGGGCACTCGCACAAACCAATGCGGGCTTAACCACGTTTAGACTGGGGACGGTGTCGTGGCTCGAATGCGGGCCTTTGGCAGCATTGGTCTGCAGCGTGCAGCGGCCCAATGTTGGCTCAGCCAGTCCCACGACGCGCAGATTCCGGCGGGGCCCAATTAACCCTCGACTAGGTTTCGAGTTGTCCGCAACCGTGTCGTCCGGAGGTGGGGAGGGGACGGGGGGCGTTGATTGCAGTTGCAGAGTGCAGGTGGACGGGGATGATTCGTTCTGCTTGTGTATGGAAGAGAGGATGAGAGAGAGCAGCAGCAGCAGCAGCAGCAGCAGCAGCAGTAGTGATTGTCGCGGTGGCGGGGTGACAGCGGGCGAGCAGCAGAGAAGAGGAGAGAGCAGTACCGCAGCACCACCTTGATGCGGATCCTCGGCCAGAAGAGGAGGTCGGGTGGTGGAGACTGTCGAGTTGAGGAGGGGATCACGAGAGGAACGAGGCGGGGGTGTAGGGAGGTATTTAGATGGGAAGGGAGGATCGAAAAAGGGAGAAAAGAAGGACGAGATGGATGCCTTTTACTTTAAAATCAAAGTAATCTGAAAGCGAATGACAGGACGGAACCAATTGACAGCAGAAATGAAAGACCGTCTCTTCGGTTTCTTCGGTGGCTTCCCTCGTTTGCCGCCCAGTTGGTGTGTGGGTTTGGTGGGTTGGGCACCCGGGGGGCAGCTCACCACTTTTCGGCTGCTGACCGCATGTTTGGGCAAGTTTGGCCACGGAGAGGGCCAGCCCCCGAGCGGCAGACCGAACAAGCACGAATTGCGGGCCAGCCAGCGTGACGCGGGAGAGCACCTGCATGAACAGCGCAACCTGAATCCTTGCCTCCTACCTTGCCGGGAAGCAGAGGCGGGTAGATGATGGGGGTTTTGCGGGGAGCGATCGCATCTTCGCAGATTCAGATAAGTGAAGGCAAGCCGTTCGTTGAGTTGAATTTTATGTGAGTGAGACGAACTTCACCATCGACAAAAAAAAGATGGGACGGATCGGTCGACCCGATCGCGGGGCTCCTTCCCTCCCGAAGCTTCGGCTTCGAGCGGACCGAGAATGCTGAGCTTCATGGGCTGCACTCCCGTGGGGTGGGACTAACTGGGTATGGTCTGCGAGTGTGCTGAGCTTATCTTTTATCGGACGAGCACCCCCTGTTCAAATTTATGTTCGCGGCATGCCGACTTGACTCGACTCGACCCATCTCGAAACCCTGCGATTCTTGAACGAGGGGAGGCGCGCCACAACTTCCGACGGTCCACACACCGCCCATGATGGCCTGTCGCTGTCCGCGTAGCCCGCGGGTGTTCCTACCCTTCCTTTATCCGCCGTTATTTGCCCCCAATGGCATCTCCCGTTCGAACCTTGCTGCAGCGATCCATGGCACGCGACGGAGCAGCTCCGAGGCCTCGGGGCCGACCGACGCAACCGCAACGTCGACTCGGTTAAACCCCCACCCGGACGACTACTCCATGTCCACCTTTGCCGACAAAGCGAAATTGAACCTCTACGCCGGTAATGGCGGCCACGGCTGCATCTCGTTCTTGCGCGAAGCATACTTGGAGGACGGGCCAGCCAACGGCGGCGATGGCGGTCACGGCGGTAACATCTACATTCAGGCGGTCCATGGCGAGACCTCGCTACACAAGCTATCGCGGAGGAAGATTGTGCGCGCGGGCAAGGGGAAGAGCGGCATGGGTGGCGCCAGGGGGGGACGACGCGGAGACGACGTGGTCATCGCCGTCCCCGTCGGGACAGTGGTCAGAGAGTTGAGTCGCGACGACCCAGAGGCTGAAAATCGCTTTCTGGCGAACCGAGACAAGAAAAGAGTCGGGAGAGATGTGCTCCCGGTGGAAGAAGGGCCGGATGGGGAGCCAATAGATGACCCGTCTCGCAGCAAGTGGATGCTCTACCCGGGGATGTCCTCCTCCGACATGAAGCGGATTCAGCTGCCGCCACTCCCGAACCGAGAACGCCTGCTTCAACAACCCAAAGCGCCAATACAGCTGGACTTGTCTCGCCCCACGCCGCGCCCGATTCTGCTCGCGGTGGGCGGAATCGGCGGGTTGGGGAACCCTCACTTTGTCACCAAAGGCACGCCGAAGCCCATGTTTGCTACTCGAGGAGAGGGTGCCGTATCGATGGAGATTGAGCTGGAACTCAAGCTCCTGGCAGATGTCGGTCTGGTCGGCTTGCCGAACGCTGGCAAAAGCACGCTCCTCCGTTCCATTAGCAACAGCCGCACACGCGTGGGCAACTGGGCCTTCACCACCCTCCAGCCCAACATCGGCACCGTCGTGCTCGACAACAACAAGGGCCGCCCGGTACTAACGAGCTACCGTAAAGTCTCAGACGCATCCCCACTTCGAGACGATCCCTTCAACCTCTCGGCCGAACCCCAACCCGGACTCGAACGGCGCACCCGGTTCACCATTGCCGACATCCCAGGCTTGATCGAAGGTGCTCATCTCGATAAAGGCCTTGGTATTGCGTTCCTCCGCCACGTCGAGCGAGCCGGTGTGCTGGCCTTCGTCCTCGACCTCGGCGCAGGGAATGCCGTGCAGGCATTGAAGGCTCTTTGGAACGAAGTCGGTCTGTACGCGCACATGCGCGAGGAGGAGGAGCGTGAGCGCAAGCGCCAAGCCGCAGTCGACTGGAGCGCCACCGCGGGGACCGACGCCGAGGACAGCACGTTCTGGCCGAGTTCCATGACGGACGATTATAGCACCCCCGCTGCGAATACTGGCGGGTTGCATATTGCTGGAAAGCCGTGGTTTGTGGTGGCTACCAAGGGGGATCTGCTGGATACGCAAGAGAATTTCAAAGAGCTGAGGGAATACCTGGCTGCGATTGGCCGCGGGGAGGAGCCGCATCCAAGTGGTGTTGAGGGCGCGTGGACCCATGATTGCGCGGCTATTCCGGTCAGCGCGATCAAGGGGCAGGGAGTGGACCGAGTGGTGCATTGGGCGGTTGGCTTGTTGGATGGCTAGCCGCTCCTGGGAGTTGTATACTGGCTCCATTGGTCATTGAAGAGTAATACACACGCACAACGGTCGAGTTGATGTTGGTACTTGCAGTACCTCCCCTGGCTGGACTAAATTGACTCTCACCGCAGCGAGCCTTTGGGGGAGAAAAATTGGGAAGTTGAGCTGCGGCAGCCCAATATTCTGGTGTATAAATAAATGTATACTTTACCAAACCGTTCCTCTACCTTTGACCCGGTTTTCAAGGTCGTACGGACATGTATCGTCCAACGTTCGCACCCCCTTGATATTCTGTATCACAGAGAAGCCTAAAGTTTTACGCCCTCGTGCTCGGCTCGAGTCATCTCCACTTAGATAAGATAAGTTCCCCGCCCCCACATTTCGCAGCTTCATGTCTCTTGCCGCAGCGCTTGTTTTTTTTTCTTCCTCCACTGGTCGGAAGCCAATTCAATGCGATTGGAGCGCATTGCAGCTGTTTACAACAGCGGCCTCTCTCTCATCGCTCCGTTTACTACAATTCCCACTCTCGTGAACATGGGTCGCGGAAAGAGAGTATGTACAAGCAAAGATCCCCCATACCTCGATTTAGCATCTTTTACTCACTGTTGATAAAAGGGACATCGAGGCGGCGGCCGCGGCGGTCGTGGTGGCCGAGGGGGTAGTCGCGACAATCGTGGAGGTCACCGTCCCTACCAAACATACCCCGAGGTGCCCAAAGAGAATAAGCGACTCGAACAGTATTACAACACACTGGTCGACCTGCCTGAGGAGGAGAGGGTCGAGTTCTGGGCTGCACTCAAGAGGGAGTTGCCTAACAGTTTCCGGTTCTGCGGGTCGAAAGGCCACGCCCTCGCCGTCAAGCGCTTGCTACAGACGAGATACATTCCCGAAATCACCAGCATCACTCACGATGGTGTTACCGTCGCTCCGCCGACGGCCGTTCCTTGGTACCCTGACGGACTCGCCTGGTCTATGACCACCCCGAAGAACGTCATTCGTAAATTCCCCCCCTTCGCCGCCTTCCAGAAGTTCCTCGTATCCGAGACCAGCGTGGGGAACATCAGCAGACAAGAGGTGGTGAGCATGATTCCGCCTCTGCTCATGGACGTCAAGCCGGGAATGGCTGTCCTCGATCTCTGCGCTGCGCCGGGCAGCAAGGCCGCCCAGCTACTAGAGATGATTCACCGTGGTGAGGAGGCTCGCATTCGGCAGGTTATCCGGAGCATCTCTGGTGATAAGGCTACAAACGAGGATGTTCTGGAGGATGACGAGACGACACGCCTAGAAGCCGACCCTAGCGATGATGGCAGAGCCACCGGCATGCTCATCGCCAACGACGCCGACTACAAGCGCAGCCACATGCTTATCCATCAATTGAAGCGTCTGTCTTCGCCCAACATGATCGTCACCAACCACGATGCCACCATGTACCCCTCGCTCAGGATACCGAACCCCGAAAACCCCTCCAAGCCGAACTACCTCAAATTCGACCGTATTTTGGCCGACGTCCCCTGCTCCGGCGACGGAACCCTCCGAAAGAACGTCAATTTGTGGAAGGACTGGACTCCCGGTAATGCCTTGGGTCTACATCTCACACAAGTCAGGATTCTTGTGCGTGCTCTCCAAATGCTCAAGCCCGGTGGCCGCGTCGTCTACTCGACCTGCAGCATGAACCCTGTCGAGAACGAGTCCGTGGTGGCTGCGGCCATTGAGCGGTGCGGTGGACCCGACAAAATCGAGATCCTCGACTGCAGCGATCAGCTCCCCCTACTGAAGCGGAAGCCCGGTCTTCGGAAGTGGCAGATCATGGACAAATCAGCTCGTCTATGGAACTCATGGGAGGAAGTCGAGGAATACGTAAAGTCTACCGAGGATGGCATTATTCCGGGTCGCCTCGTCGAGAGCATGTTCCCGCCGTCCGCGAGCAGCGACTGCGCTGATCTTCCCCTGGAGCGGTGCATGCGGGTGTATGCTCATCAACAGGATACCGGCGGCTTCTTCATTACTGCCCTGCAAAAGAAGGAGGAGTTCAAGGCGAAGCCTGAGGAAAACAGGAAGCAGCCTCCCAAGACTAACGGCAAGGCTAATACTGCCAAACGGCCGTTGGAGGAGGAGGGGGACAAAGAAGAGGCCGGTGTTAAAAAACTGAGACTGTCCGAGGAGCCTGCCAAAGAGCAGCCGGCTACAACCGAACCAGTGGCGGCCGTAACAGAGGAGGCCGAGGCAGAAGTTGAAACCGGGACGAAGCCCGAGGCTATCGAAGTACCAGCCACCAACGACGCCGTTGAAGCAGCCACCCCGGTCCCCCAACCAACAGACTCAACATCCGCAACTCCCTCCGTAGCAACCCCCGCGGCCACAGCCGCAACCCCCACCGCCCAGGATTCCATCCAGGAGCCCAAGCGCAGGCCGGACGGCCCCTACGAAGAACCCTTCAAATTCCTCTCGCCCGACCACGACGTCATCAAGAACGTGGCCGAGTTCTACTCCATCTCGCCGCGCTTCCCCTCGGACCGGTACATGGTGCGCAACGCCCTCGGCGAGCCGGCTAAGGCCATCTACTACACCTCAGCACTGGTGCGCGACATCCTCGTGCTCAATGAGGGCCGCGGCGTCAAGTTCGTGCACGGCGGCGTCAAGATGTACGTCAAGCAGGACGCGCCGTCGGCCGACGTCTGCCGGTGGCGGATCCAGTCCGAGGGCATCCCCATCCTACACGGCTACGTGGGGCCGGAGCGGGTGGTGGTGCTCACCAAGAAGGCGACACTTAAGAATCTGCTCGTCGAGATGTTCCCCAAGATCGCCGGCGACGACTGGCGCCGCATGGACGAGATCGGCGAGCGCGTCCGCGACCTCGCCCTCGGCTGCTGCGTCCTACGCGTCCAGCCCGAGGGCGGCGACCCGGACTTCGCCGAGAGCATGGCCCTGCCCCTGTGGAAGAGCTTCCAGAGCCTGAATCTGATGCTGCCCAAGGAAGACCGCAGCGCCATGCTGCTGCGCATCTACAACGACACCACCCCGCTCATCAACATGGGCATTCAGAAGAAGCCTGCCGAGGGCGCCGCCGCTGAGGCCAAGGAGGCCGGCGATGGGGACGCCGAGATGAAGGACGCCGCTCCTGCTGCTACCAAGGAGGCGCAGGAGGAGGAGGAGACCGTCGGTGCGGCGGATGTCGAGGTGGCGGATGCGCCCGCTCCTGAGGCGGCTGAGGCGGTCGAGGCCCAGGCTGCGGACACCGCTACTCCTGCGGAAGGACCAAAAGCTTAGATGGCACGTCGTTGGCGTCGAGTACGACGAGTGTTGGGGTGCTATGCCAGCTCCAAGTAGCTGGTGTGGGTTCTGTCTGTTTGTTTGTACGTATTACGATCTATCTTTTGGGATGCAAAAGGGAAAATAGACATGGGATTTGAAAAAAAAAGCCTTTTCTGTGATGTTATGTCTGTCTGAATCACTAGTCGTCTGATCGGCGAACAACGCAGCCCTGGCATCACCTAGCCATCCCACGCAACAAGATAACTTGACAAGATAAGACACGTGCAGAGCCATAAACACAACGATCTTTTTTCAAAACACTCTATAACAACAACAGCATGGTATCTACGCCGAACCCAAAGCACATACACTCGGATCAGTCAACGCCCGCCCCTCTCGCTCTCCAACTCAAGCAGCAGCCACAACATTAATCACCCAACCCTCGTCAAATTCGTCCACGGACTAACCCACTCATCGTCAAGCATACCCCATTCCAAACCCCCCTCTTCTAGGGTGCTCCCCCAGCTTCCCTGCTATTCGTACTCGACACCCCCCTCCTATATCAAGAACTCGCTCAGAACCTGCACTCTGGTCCTGGCCGTGTTGGACCCGTGGTCGCCTTCGCTCATGACCTGCATTATCTGGATCATACGATCTAAGCCGGCATTGCCATGTTAACACCAGTCCTGTATCGATTCATGAAAGGGAATGTGAAGAGTATGGGTGGCCAGGGGCCCAAGACCACGAATGAGAGAAAGAATAAATAGGAAGAGGATATGGAAAAGAAAAAGAAAAATCCCAAAAAGAAAAGAGCAAAACTCACGAATATCGCCCCGCGCCCTCACAAACAGCGGGTCCTTAGCCATGCTCTCCTCGCCGCCCGGCTCACGGGCCACCTCGCGCAGCACGTTCCCAATACAGAGGGCCTCCAAAAAGGCGCGGTGGTTAAAGACCCACCAGACGCGGGCCTCGGCCTCGAAGAGGGCAAACAGCACAAAAAACGCCGTGATGGCGTCGTGGGCAGCCTCGAGGGTGCCGCGGGCGTTGACAGGGACGTCCTGGCTCTCGGAGGCGTGGACGAGCATGAGGTTGTGGAAGTAGTTGCTGCTGAGGAAGAGGGTCTGGCGCACGACGCGCTTGTTGCTCTGGGCGAGCTGGGCGAGCGCGTCCGGGTCCCAGGAGCGGAAGACGTCCGGGAAGGAGCGGTAGACGGCGCGGAAGTCGCCGATCAGCTTGGACTTGTGGCGGGCGGTAGTGCAGATGGGCACGTCGAGCGACCGCGGCGAGCAGATGGTCTCCTGTACGAGATTGGCCAGCGTCCATGACCCGCGGATGTAGGCCGTGTCGGTGGGGTCATCGGATGCGATGGATGAGTCGTCTTCGACGAGGTCTTCGACGCTGACGTCGGTGTGGGTAGCGCTCGGCGGGAGGGAGAGGAGGACAGTCAGGAAGGTGTCCTGGAGGAGAACGGCTTGCCAGACTTTGCGGCGCTGTTGCTTTTCAAAGGGTGGTGCGTCGGGGACCACTAGAAAAGGGGGGTTAGAAGATGCAGAGGCGTAGGGAGGGTCAGATTTTAGGGAGCACGCACCGATGTTTGGATCACGGTGCAAACCCATGGCATAGGCCTGCCGCATTAGTATTCCGGCAAAGGCCCAGCCATCCGAGGCGTGGTTGTCATTAATAAGAAAATACGTGATGAGGACCATCGCTTGGATGGTCTTAATGGATGCGGTGCTCAAGTACGAGCACATACGCAGTGCTTGATTACTGGCGGAGGCGTAGAACTCGGCCGTCTGCTTTCTCTCCTTCGGTGACGTCGACGTCACGAACTGTGTGCCCAAGGCCAGCATCACGAAGATCAATGCCACAAAGGCGGCATCGGCGCGGTCTTTTTCGGGCCGGGACAGGGACCAAAAGTGCTCATAGTCGGCGTAGAAGGTTTGTCGGTGAAGCATAGGGTACACCGGGTCAACGCACTCGAAGTAGCGGTTGAGCAAAATGTCAGCCTGCAGCTTATCGGGAAGAACAGAGATGACCTCAGGTAGCCCGCCCTCGCAGGTCCAATAGTTGGCAAACGGGTGCTCAGATCCGATGCCAAAGACATTTGAGGCCCCCGGTGCAGAAAAGGGGACGTTGGACAGGAGGCCGGTGGAAGTGGCCACCGAACCTAATGCTTTGAGGCGACCAACGTTCAAGCCCCGATCAGCGGCGTTGGGCATGCTATGGCTCAAGCTGTCTGAACGTTTCTTGGGCGGCCTGGTCATCCGGCGGCCATTTGTTGCGCTCCGGGTGGTTTCTCTGCACGGGCATAAGCTACAAGTCGTAGGTATCCATGGTGCTGCGGATTACCTACTCAAGAAGATTGGCCACATGAGCATATTCACAATTAGTCTGGCGTTTTATACCTGCACCGTAATCAATCAGCCATGGCTCCCGTGTAGGGAGTTAAGGAGACTTACAAGCAAGACAATGCGGTCTTCCTCGGTCACACTGAACACAATAACGTTAGTCTTGGATGTCACCAGAATCGGGAGTTATTCCCGAGACATAACTATATCCAGGCCTCGCACAGTATCAGGTGACACAACACATTGCATCAAGTCGAACACAAGATTGCAACAGAGGGTGGCAATTGTGTGGCACACGCGTGTAAGTGGACCTCTTTTTCTCGGTGCTTTGGTGTTGAACTAAATATTGTTGTTGTTTTTTTCTTAAGGTAAAAAAAAGCCACGTACCTTAGTCTTTCGCTCGACACATTCAAAGCAAGATAGTGTCGGCTTGTTTCGTTTTTGCTTCTTCCTCGGCTGGTCCGTCGTGGCCGTCGCCGAGGGAGAGGCACTGCTGCTGTCTCGATCGTCGTCAGGGGACACGCCAAGACCGGGGCTAGGTCCGTGACCGTTAGTGCCGGTTCGGTCGGCGTTGACCGGGGTGTTTGAGGCCGAGACCCATATTGCCGGTGATGACTCGTCAGCCACCACCCCGACTTCTCCACGCGCTGCCCTCTTGGGGCCACGGCGAAGTGGTGCGCCGCCGCCAGAATCAGAGTGCACGAGTGCATGCGGCTGGCGAAACTGATGTTGAGAAGCGGCTTCGGGCGACACGTAAATGGTGGATGCGATACCCGAGCTCGGCGTTGGAGCTGTTAAGACCGAGAGGATGGGCGTCGGGCCCAGGGCTCGTTGTTGCGGCGGTCTCTCCATTCGCGAACTGCAGGAGTGCCAAGGTGGCGAGCAAACGACGACGGCCCAACTAAAGGGAAAGACCGAGGCTGCTGCGATACGATGAGCGAGGGGCGGGATTCTGGGTGGTCTTGCTGGCTCCTCGAGTCCTAGTCCCAGTCAGTTTCCAAGTTTCCCCAGAATCTCGGACCGTGGGCGGACGGCGCCAGCTGCGGGACGGAGTCCGAGGAGTCTGTCTCTTCTCGAGGCACGCAGCACACGAGCGGTGCAGCACCCGCAGCCGGGAATAACGCGCGGATGCGGCGCGTGTCTTTGCCGTCCGGGTTTCGAACCAAAGTAATCTGTTCCGCGGAGGAAACACAAGCGGCTGGGCAGGGCTGGGAATAGTGAGGGATTGGAAACAATCGGAAATGGGATTTGAGAGACTGGGAAATGATGGGATGAGCCATTGAGGAGGCGGGGATAAGAATAACCCCGGATCTTCGTCAGTGGCAGCATCAATTCGCCAATTGAGGGGCAGACCAAACTGCCCCCGTTGACAGACAAGGAAGGTGGCAGCCGCTGACGAACAACTCCCAGCAGCAAGGGCGCAAAGATCAGTTTCTAAACGCCGAGCAGCTCCGAAGAGAGGAAGACTCCACTACCTTAAGCTTTGACGCACCGATCATCGACGAATAGTTAACGCGATTTGCATTCCTGTTCTATAACTGAAGAATCGATCCCTTCCAAGTCTTGAACCTCTCTCGAGGGTAGGCAGTCTCGGCAATAGATCCATAAGGTACCTATTTAATTTCGTTGCACCCGGTGATTCAACGGCTGGGGCCGAGTTGGTAGCGAACAACTACCGGCAATATATCCGACCCGTCTCTCTTCGTGAAACAACCGCGGGAAAGGTCAAGAATGGATTAATCATGTGTATTTTATGCTGGATGTTGATTCTTATGGCGTTGCAAACGTACGATAACGCAGTTCAGCCAAAAATAAACTCTTCATAGTTCTTCCGCATTCTCGTCAGGCCCTCCTCCAGCGTCCAACCCTTGACCGCACATATCCTCCTCGAGATGTTCTCGAGCACGCGGTCCATCTCCTCGCCCGCGCAATGCAGGTCACTCTCCACAAGCAACCGATCATCGGGACACGCCCGGACCACGTCTGCAAACTTGTTCTCTCCGCCCGCCGTCGACAGGTTGATAACCGTCGAGAGGGAGAAGAACGTCCGGAGGGGGATGGCCGGGTGGAGGTACTGCTGCATCATCTGCGGCGAGCCGCTATACGAATGCAAGCACACCCTCGGCGGGAATGGCTTGGGCTTGTAGTCCTTCTTCTTCTTCTCCTTGACCTTTGCGGGCTGTGACGGGCCACCACCACCACCACCACCACCACTACCCTCCTCACCCCACCATTCGCCCCCCTCGTCCTCATCCTCACTTGACGACGAAAAGTCCTCCGCCCCCGCCGCAACCATCTTCTGCTTCTTCCTCGACACCACCTCCCGCTCATGGCCCTTCCACAGCGCCGCCAGCGCATCAAACAGCACCCCGTGCGCCTGCACGCCATGGATGCTCACCGCGACGCCCAGCTCGCCTGCTAGACGCAGCTGCGCCTGGAGCACCCGGATCTGGTGTGCCATCTTCACGTGGTGCGGGCTCAGCATGCGGCCCTCACGACCCCCCGGCGTCAGCGTCTCGTCGCGACGCGAGGGGGCGCTGGCCTCGGCCTCGGCCTCGGCTTCGGTGGTGGTTGTGGTATGCTCGGCGGCCGCTGCAGGGTCTTTTATTCCCCACGGCCATGGCAGCCGGAACGCCTTGTCTAGCCCGACCTCGCCAACTAGCGCGGTGCCGGCATCGAGCACGCGCTGCCGGGTGTCGGCGAGGAAGGAGCTGAGTGGGATGGGGTTGGGGAGGGACGCGATGAAGGCGTCGTCAGGTTGGGGGGAGAGTACCGAGCGGTAGTGCTGGGTTTTGTGTTGGTCGGTGGTTTCAGGGGATGCTGTGCTGGTCTCGGTGTCGTCGTAGAGTTGGTAGGAGAACCAAGGGTGCCAGCCGAAGGCGGGGATGATTTTGTCGGGGGTGTCTTGCTTTGCAGGCGAAGCAAGCACCGAGCGGTCTCGTATAGGGTTCTTGACCGCGGCCGTAGCGACGAGATCTTGGTCCTGTGAACGTGTGGCCATGATGGTCAGAGCACGAACACGCATGCTGCCTACGCTGGCAACCGAGGACATGGTGTCGGTCGGGTGGCAATGGGCATCGCAGACGCCAATGTGCCATGGGAAGTCATCGAGATGGCCTTCATTCTGTTCGGGGACTGCCGAAGCGGATTGGGTGTCGTTTGGATTACACATGATATTGTCTGCTGGGGTGCGTTTGATCTGGGGTTGGGGTAAGTACTGTGTACTGTGTAAGACCTGATCGCGTGGGGGTCGTTGTACCTAACTCGTCCCAGGGCTAGGTACCTGATGATGTTACGCGGAGCAGCTAAACAAGCCTACTAAAAAGAAATCGTCGCCCGGTGTCCCCAAATTTAAGTTTGACGCCTTCACTGTGCCTCAGCCATGAGCGAGATTGACTCAAAAATTACGGGTGTGGAGCGAAAAGAATTCCGGAGGTAGTGCCTGGCTGCCTGCCGTCAGTAATGCTTCCACTGGCTTCCTCCCCCGCAAGAACCCCGCGTAGCTCTTGGCGTCGATCTTCCGTTTGAGCTGCAGGGGTTATACGCTTTGGAATCCATAGGGTACTAGTGCACTACCGACTTCCCTAACCTAAGGTATGTAGGTAGGTGGTACCTGCAAGGTAAGATCCACCGAATTACCTAGGTAGGTAGGTAGGCACCTCTCAGTTTTCTTTCGATCTCGTTCAGTGAGTACAAGTATATTCTCAATGCACCTGGTCTCAGGAGTGTATTTGCAACTATCTGATGACGACTCTACGAGTATAACTAAGAGAAGGAAAGGAAAAGAAGGGAAAATGGCTCACGCGTCGCGTTGGCCTTCTCCTGTCCAGATGGAGACACTAAGTGTAAAAAGGGGTAAGCGTAGTGGGGTTGTTGATAGGACTGTTGACCTGGCGATGCTCAGGGTTAGGGTTAGCCGAGGGTCACCGAGGCCTCTGCAGGACTCAGCCCGTTACAGTACCTATTCTTTAATTCATTTGTTTCATTCCTTTTCTTCACTTTCTTTTACCGGATTTCTTCTCTTTGGCATACTTTTCTTTACTTTATTACTCTAGTCCTTGTTGCTTGAATTTCCAACCTCTTTTTATTTTTATTTTTTTATTTTTTTTGTTCGAGTTAGTTATCCATATCGATTTCTTCGGTGAGGTAATACTGTCCGTTAACCGTAGGGCTACGGGAGCCCACGGCGGTGGAGAAAGCCGCGAGCACGATCGCGCGCTGGACGGGGGGGATTGCATACACGGACAGGGTAGTAGAAGACGCCTGGAAAGCGAGGTGGCTGAAGGAATGGGGCGGCAGGGCAATCACCAGGCCGGCGGACGACTTTGACCATCAGCAGGAGACGCTATTCCGGAACGAAACCCCTAAGGAGGCACGACGGTCTCAGCAAGGCGAAGAGCTCACTGCTGATTCAAATCCGGACGGGAGCAATAGGCTTACTGGACTTCTTGTTTACACGGGGAGTCCCGGAGGTTCTGACTCCTGCCTGCGAGTGTGGCGGGGGACGAGAGACTGCCGAACACCTGGTAGTGTGGTGTTTGGCCCCACCGTTGACTCGAAGATGGGAGAGAACTGGAATTCGGACACGACGGGACTTTTACTCTGTTCTACACGGCATCAATCCCACGACTGCACGCGTGACGAGTCCGCTCCGCTCGTCACCGCCATCGTCCTCGTAATCTCCATCGTCTTCGTAACCTCCATCGTCCTCGAAATATCCATCGTCCTCGAAATATCCATCGTCCTCGTAATCGTCAAGCCACCGTGCCACTGCCTCGTCGTCGAATCGGCGCCCGATGGCTCCCGGGCTATCGTCACTGGCGTGTTCGTCCTGGAACGTTTGGGCGTGGTGTTCCCGGCCGGCCAGTGTGCCCCGGCGCTGATTGGCGGGGTAGAGGTTGAGGAAGTGCAGCCTCCTTGACAAGAGCGTGTATGGGTGGTGAACGGATAGATAGTGGTCCGAATCCGACTCGTCGTCCGTCTCCTGTGGTGTAGGAGGAGGAGTAATGGGAGGAGGAGTGTTGGGAGGAGTGATGGGAGGAGCGTTGTCCTGCCAGAACCTGGAATATCTAGCCATCGCTTGTTGAAACTCCGGGCAATTCGGGCTGTTGGGATTCGGTCCCCCAATCGTGTTGTCGTAGATATACGAGCACATGCCCTTACAATAGATGTACAGTAAGGTGAGAGGGAGGAATAAAAAGACGCTCGTGCCTGAGATGGCAGCGGTGACGAGGACAACGGGAAAGATTCCCACGATGATGAATGTCCATACAGAGAATTTGATGGCTGCGAGGACAATACGGCCCATGATTGTGTTTTCGATATGGTTCGCCATGGCTGCGATTGAACGAAGATTGTAAACAGGGATGATGTTTTCAGAAAGGTGGGAGATTGGGTGAAAATGGAGGGTTTGGTGGAGGTGAAGGATTTGGTGTAAGGTGGGGAGAGGGGGGGGGGGGGGGAGAAGAGGGAAAAGACGAGGGAGACGAGAACATAAAGACAGAGACGGAGAGGTCCGTGTGCTGGCTGATTTGGCTAGAATAGTTCTTTGAGCGCTGAATGACGAAAAGCCGAGGCTCGAGCAAAAACAAGAAGAGTCTGACCGCGACACCTGACGCTACCAAAGCGTGAGAAGATCATACCCAATCCATAGACCGGCCAGTTCCAATCCAGACCGGCCAGTTCCAATACATTGACCGGCCAGTTCCCAGGTATCTCCCCCAGTCACAACCTAACTCCGAAACGCCGCTCATAAGTCCCTCCCCAACCCTTCACAAACTCTGCCAGAAATAATTGGCATAGAAGAACCTAGAAAACTTCCTATCGATATTCACCACGTGAACATCCCCCTTCCGATCATTCCGCACCACCACCCGATTAAACTCCCCATCCTTGCTATCCCTCTCAATCTCAATCCCCAAACTCCGATAAACCTTCAACCGCAACAACAGCTCATCCTCCAGCGCCCCACCACTCCCAGCGCCAGCACCACCACTCCCTTCCCCAATACCCACACCACCCCCATCCACGCCCTGCAGCTCGAGCTCCTGCAGACGGGCATTCAAATCCGCCAGCTGAGCCTGCAAACGCTCCGTCTCCATCTCCAAGTCGGAGGCGGCCTTGGCGACGCGGAACTTCTGGGTGTCGAGGCGGGCGATCTCGGAGGCGTGCTGGGTGGACGAGTGGGAGGCGGTGAGCTCGGCGTGCTGCGACGACAGCTTGCCCAGCGTGCGGCCCAGCTGGCGCAGGGATTCCTCGGCGTCGCGCACGCGCAGCTCGCGGGCCTGTTGCAGCGTGGAGAGGGACTCGGATACGCGCGACACGGCGGTTTTGTCGGGCGCGATGTTGAAGTTGGAGATGGTGTGGCGGATGAGCTGGGGTGAGAGTTAGTGGGTGGTTGTGGTGGTTGTTGTTGTTTTTTTGAGTGAGGGGTTCAGGGGGTGGGGCTTACGGTGGAGGGGTCTTCTTCGAGGAGCATTTTGGCGGTTGTTTGTTGGTTTGTTCTAATTTGGATTTTGTATTGCCTGAGGCATAGAGAAAAAAAAGGTCGCTTTCGACGAGAAATGATCGTTTCCGTTGTGGTCTGGATTCTTGAAGATCTCGAATTGCAGATTGCAGAGCCGCAGTTGTTTGGAAGGGCTTGGCGCCAAGATCGTCTCCCAGACGACAGGGCTGACCATGCCATGGAATGTATGGAACCTTCCGTCGTCTCTTTCCCTTATCTTATCGGCTGGGGGGGCAGAGGCGGGTGGTGGCCAGCCTTCGTCATCGGTGGTGGGCGGGCCACAGTCATGCGAGAAACTAGCGACCTAACTGACCTGAGGTTTGGAAACGGCCCGAGCTTCAGCAGAGCAAAGAACTTGAGATTACTGCAGTCAGGATCACCTACATACCTTTAAACAGTGTCATATTTGATTTTCTGCAAGCGCTGTGCTTTTGGAAGTCGCAGGTCGCGTCATTCAGAGTTTTTTTGATCACGTTCTACCCGCAGTGACCCCCCCAAAGGCTTCCAACATGGCGCAACTTCCTTGTGAGTGCTCGCACGACCATCTGCGCAGTTTCCGAAAAGCTGACCCAACATGCTTCCAGATGCGATCGACGCCGAGACGTGAGCATATATCTATCCATTTTTTAGGTTTCTATTAGGGCCTTAATACTGACCCAAGATTACAGGCCTCTCAACCCCGCCGAGCTAGCCGTACTTCGTGCGCAGTACGAGCGGGAAGGGGATATGGTCGGCCTCCAGACAAAGTTCAACTACGCATGGGTAAAGCTCAATTTCGCACCTCTCATGGTACACACCCGACTTACGGTTTGGAATCCAGGGCCTCGTCAAATCTAGCACCCGCCAGGAACAGCAGCTTGGCGTGATGCTGCTCGCCGAGATTTTCCGAGTATCCACCGAGCGACGCCGCGAATGCCTTTACTACCTCGGGCTAGGCAACTACAAGCTGGGCAACTACGGCGACGCACGAAAATACAACGACATCCTCCTTTCGAAAGAGCCCGGGAATCTACAAGCGCTGAATCTGCAGTCGCTGATCGATGAGAAAGTGGCAAAGGAAGGGCTCATGGGCGTGGCCATCGTCAGCGGCGTGGCGGTCGTGGCGGGTATCGTCGGCGAGTGTGCTGCTCCGGAATTTGGGGCGGAAGAGGTGAAGACGACGTTACTTCACTGAACGAGCGGGTCGTGCAGCATATTTCGGTGTATCGGGGCGATATTGTATTTATACGGGAAGACGGCGGCATCATGACCTTTATGGGGGGGACGGGCTTGTATTTTCTTAGCAGACGACAGCATGACCACTACACCACTACGCAAACATAATAACTACCTACCAGGGCACGTATCTGTTGGGCACCATGCACTGATTTCAGGACACATCAAGCTTCCGAGTTTGTCCGGCACTCTGTTTGAGACCGGAAACCTCTGCGACAAGTTGAGGGAGAAGAAGCAACTGGATCAGGTATCCGCGTCGGGAAGCCGAGGCTGACTCGTTTCCCCGATGGTCTGCCGCTACCTGGGTGAGGGGTGAGGGGGAGTTGGGCATTCTCGGCAGGGGCTGCAGGCACATGTATAAGGCATATATTCGTACATCACACATGCACAATGTACAATATCCAGGTCAACCTTGCCGTGAAGTTAGGTCTCGCTCACCGCGCACAAACTCTGTGGGCGTCTCCTAGAACCGCAAGTGTGACCACGCAAACCTGGAGAAGCGGAGCGCAATTTGGCTACATTTGGAGAACCATCGGGTTTCCTCCTTCCAGGTTACGGGGTTACCTATCAGTTGGGTTTCATCATACCTGTCCTTCCCTTGTGTGGTCAAAATGGAACGAGGTACTTTCAGTCTCGCGACCAATCGCCGCATGACTTGGTCGGGATCTTGGGAGTTGACAGGTTCCTGCACGAGGTGGGCACAGTGGCTTATTTTCTGTGGGGATGACCGTCGACCGAGCCAGCAGAATATGACAGCTGATGAGGTGGGAAATGTGCCTTCAGCTTCTATCGATTTCTTGCGTCATCTTTTTTCTTCTGTCTTTATAATCCTGGGAATAGTTATACCTTGTGCATTACGGCAATTCGTACCTGTGTTGGTAATAAACCCGATTGCTCACATTCAGACGATCAGGTATCCCGGCTATCGTATTATCGTACTTGACATTGGACGAATACATCCAGGCACATGGTGCTATCAATTTCTAGAGTTTCCCCATAGGTGCCTGGGGTGCCTTAGCCCTTATCAACTAAGCAGCTGCGGTGACGCAGCTCGCAGGTGGGGGAGTCCACTTTCCAGGGTAGGTCTCTCGGCAGAGCCCACTTTGAGATTCCATAGGGGTTCACGCTCTTTCCATCAAACGGCACCAACATCAACCCAGCATCACCGTTTGCGACCACCGCTGCGTAAAACATAAACAATTCGGCTTCGGGGTGCCGAAGCATGATCAAAGGTTCGACCGCATAAATCACCCAGCCGCCTCACGCGAAGACTCAAACACCCGCCATTGCTCGCGCTTTCTTTCAACGCTCTAATAACTGGGGACAGTGACTAGAGTGGGGCAAACGGAGGCCCAGCTTAGTGGCATCAGGTCTCGCCTTGAGGCACACCTACCCCCGTACCTTTCGACATCTTCGCTACAACCAACCTCAAAGTCGAGGAAAACCCACGCGGTCGAGTTCTGATTACAAGCCGACACAGTGGCGTTCCGAGCACGGCTCGCGCTCGCCGCCATCACCGGCGTAGTTGGCGCCATCGCTGCTTACCAGCGAGCTAACCAAATCCCACCCGAACCACCCGGCATGGCGTCCTCTGCTCGGGCTTCCCGCCCCCCCGAAGGCGAAAATTCGGAGGTGCTATTCTGTCACGCCTGTCGGAACGAATGGTATCGACTCAACGAGTCTTTGAGTTGTCCTCGATGCCAGAGCTCGTTCACCGAGATTGTAAGTGACGGTTACCCCGCGATTCTCGTCGTTGCCCACCTCCGCTGACTTGCCGAACCAGATAGATGATTCCAACGATCCGGAGGACGGTATACGGATTACAGGGTTCCCCTATTTTACAGGCCTTACCGCTGCCCCCTCTCCAAGAGAAAACCCATACGGCAATTCGGCACAGCCGAACGAAGCCCAGTCTGCTTTTGGCGGCACTCGCCCCGAGCCGCGTTTCGGTGCGCAAAATGACGGTGGCCAAACCAGCGACAGCGAACCCGCCCTTAGACGTTTTGACGGTGGCCAAATCAACGACAGCGAAGCCGTCCTTAGGCGTTTTACAGATATGTTATTCAATGACTTCGGGGCTGGGAGAGCTGTGCGCTGGAACCCCGGGTCGGACGACCTATTCCCGGCGGAAGAGAACCTGTTCCGGCCAGGGAGCAGGGTACAACATACCACCGTGCGGACGGGCCCGTTCGGCGCGCGCACAAGCGTCACTGTCACAAGCAGAACCATAGGTGGAGGCGGCCCCGATCAGTCGCCGCTCAACGCGGGCACGTACGTCATCCCTATGGGCGACCACCCTCATCCTGGCGGGCGGCGGATACGCGCAATCACCATCATCAACAACCGTGTAACTGACGCTAATGAGCCGCTTAGATTGTTCGACCAGCTCTTTGGCAACCCCTGGGGCGTAGCAGGTCCGGAGGACGCGGCCCGGCGGGAGCGCGGTGCAGTAGACCCGGCCTTCCCCCTGTTGGGCGGACTTCAGCAGCTTCTGAACACCTTGTACAACCCTGCATCGGCAGTACGTGGTGACGCAGTCTTTACGCAGGAAGCACTGGACCGCATCGTCACTCAGCTCATGGAGGCGTCGCCTCAGACTAACGCAGCACCTCCTGCAACGCAAGCAGCCATCGAAAAGCTGGAGAAAAAACAGGTAGACGACGCGATGCTTGGAGCAGAGGGCAAGGCCGAGTGCACCATCTGCATCGACGAGATCAAGAAGGGCGACGAAGTGTCAGTGCTCCCGTGTAAGCACTGGTACCACGGCGATTGCGTCATCCTTTGGCTCAAGGAGCACAACACGTGTCCCATCTGCCGGATGTCCATCGAGAACCCGGGGGGCGGTGAAAATAATAGCAACAACAATGGAAACAGCGGTAGCGGTAGCGGCGGCGGCAGCAGCAGCAGTAACAGGGATGACGGTAACCGAGCGTCGCCTGCCGACCCTTCTGTATCGATGTCCTCATCAGGCTGGACCTTTGGCATCCCACCGCCAGTCTCCCCAGGCCCAAGCACCTTTTCCGCCTCCACTCGCCCCACCTTCGGGAGAATTGGGAGCAGCAACCGGTTCCGCAGCGCTCGTGAGAACATGGAACGGCTGGACTCGATCCGTAATCTGGCGACCGGCGTGGAACAGCCATCATCATGGTCGAACTTCCAGCGGCAGAGTCCCCACTCGCCCCCGGGTGCCTGGCCGACGATGTCGGACGCGGAGGATACGAGCCAGGTAAGGGCTAGGAGCCCGTCGGCTCCGAGGGAGAGGGACACAGAGAGAGAGGGTGATGATGGCGTGGGACACGATACGAGTGGCCGTGTACGCCCGGCCAGGATGAATAGTGTCGGGACGCAGGGCGGAATGAGTTGGACCAGTGGACGGCGGTTGTCACAAACTGTTCGACAGTCCCAGTCCCAGTCCCAGTCCCAGTCCCAATCGCAGCCGCAACAACAGGCCCCGCAGCAGTCACCACACCAGCCCCAACCCCAGGGCGGTTCGGGGAATGGGCCGCTTGGGTGGTTCAGGCACTTTGGGCGAAGGAGCGGCTAATTGGTATTTCATCATATGGCTGGGTCAATGGAGGAAGTGGCCTTTGGACTGGAGCCGTCAAGTTGAGGTCTTCAAGGACCCAGAGGCGGCTTCCGGGCCTACCTCTGGCCTGGGTTGGCAGAGGACTGAGGAAAACAGGGGCTGGGAGTTGAGTCGAGTCCCAGCCCGTCCATTGACGGGCTTACAGGGTCGACGACGAAACACAAATATCACGGAAAACTCCCCAATTTTATGGAAGTGATGCCCCTACAGTCCCGTTATTAGGTGGCTGGCTTCGGAGCATACAGACACCTGGATGAAAAGTAATAACGGGGGTGTTGGCGGTTGGGTTGGATTTTATGTAACTATGTATCTTTGGTAGGGGTGTTTGCGTATGGTCAGGACAATTAGACAGCGAGTTCTTCTATCACCTTTTCCCGTGTGCACACAGTTCGTGCCTATTGTCTATGAGAGACGACGGGAAACGTGTCCTTTGCCTCAAACTCAGCTGAGGTTGCCGAACAAAACGAAACCACAGGTAAGGCTTGGCATAGCACCGACCTACCCATAGAATGGAAATGTTGACATTTGAGGACTCGGGTTTGGCTACTGATAACTTAATAAATTATGATATTCATATCCGGAAACCGTGAGAATAGGTAGGTACCGAATTATGCATGGAAAAATTACCGAGCTCGCCGTGGCAGACCAAGCATGACTCCCCATGTAGGGAGTACGTTAGGGCCTCGTCAGCTCCAGCTTCCCCACACGCCCTGGTTGGCTAACTCCCGCTCCCGCCTTGCTGGCCTGACCGATTCGGTTATAAGTGTGCGGCACTTGCGGTGACCAGATATTTTCTCGGGGTTTATTTGATCATCATGTAGGATTGATGTGGTCGCGTTATCACTGCTAGTTTGGAGTTTGGATTTCGAGGGCTTGGTGACCGCGTCCCCCCATTTCTCCCTTTCTCTCTCAACTCAACCTAGTCCGCCGTCCAGTTCTGCTGTTTAGTTCTCATTCTCTCTACCACACCAACCTAAAGCCTGGTGACTCTCCACCATCCGACTTTATACTAGGTAGGCAGATGAACGTGGCGAGCGTTGCTGTTTACCTAGCGCCGTTGCCTCACTTACATCCTCGCCGCGTCACCGTCTGCACGTCGTCGTCCGAGGACGCCAACTAGTCCCACCGTTTGTCAAACCGCTGCCTAATAGTACGGCGAACGAGGCAGCATCAGTCAGCCATGCGCTCCTCCTTTACCGCCACCTGGCCGCTCGTGCTGTCGATGGTACACGCGTTCGCGAACGGCCTGCCAATCCCCCCTCACAAGGGTATGCCTCCAACCCAACACACCTCCCCAATCCAGACCCACCCACCTTAGGTACCAAACCAACTATTTAACACCCGTCACATCTCCAGATACCGCAGAACCAGCAGCTCCTGCCCTCGCGGCACCACCCCCACCCCCACCCGTCCTCATCTCACAAGACACGGGGGTAGCCGCCGAACTGGCATGCGTCTTCCGCACCGCGCTGCGCAAGGCCGGGTACGCCGCCGACGTGCTGCGTCGGAAGGGTGGTCGTTATGGTGGTGGTGATGTTGTCAATGACGGCGAAGCCCTTCAGGGACAACTGCACTATCTCCGCCGCCGTGGTGGAGAAGTTGATTCGCCGCGCACGGAGGGGGTCACTGGTCATGGTGACTCCGTTTCTGGATCTCAGGAGGGTATTGCGGAGGACCTTGGGCGCCTGCTTCGCAAGCTGGTGCCGTTTTATCCTGCGGTGTTTACCTTACCGTCCGTGGCCATTGGTGTCGGGTTGATGCTGGTTAGTTTTGTGGCCATATGGTGCGGATTTGTATGCCGTGATGCCCTTGGTAAGGGCAGGTGGCTGCGGTGGGGAGCGCGGGAGGGGAGGAGTAGGTTGCGGGGTGAAGAACCGGTTAATTGGGATTTGAGGGAGAAGGGAGAGGAGTTGTTGGACGAGAGGCAAGGGGGTTATGGTGAGGAGAGGTATAGGGATGAGAAGGCGGGTTTTGATGAGGAGAGATATCGGGATGAATATGTGTCATTGATGTTTGAGGATATCGAGGATATCGAGGATGTGGAGGAGAGTGAGTATGTGGAGGATAGCGAGGGAGAAAATGAAGAGCAACTGACTCTTGGGGATGAAATTGCGTCTTTTAGGTCGGCGGTTGACTTGGTCGAGAGTATGGTTGCCGCAGCGGGAGTAAGGCATTGAATACCTAAGACGAGATTTCAACCGGAGCAAGGCTGGCTGTCATACACCTATCTCGGGAGGTACCTACTACGTGAATGCCAGCCCACCTACCGAGAACCTAGAGATGTGCTTCATCTTAAATCGCAAGAGAGGTACCTATATCCAGAAACGGACACCCAAGTGGTCTTCGCCTGGAACCCGTGGACGTCAGTCTTCCTACCTGCATACTTATGGCGTGGTTCTAGGAAGAACCGGGAGCCCGCAGCCCGCCTTCTTTGTCTCGTTCCTGAAGGAATGTGTACTTCGAGGCAAATAATAGGACCAACAGGCGGGTGATACAGGCAAAAGATAACGCACAACTCATCGCAGCTCGCCCCAATCGCAGAGCGTCGCTCGAAAAGCAGAGGAAGAGGACGAACATGCGTTGTGCCGTGATTGGCTGAGAAGGGCATGAAACACCCAAATTGGCACCCAAACCCCGCTATCAGCTTGTTCCAGGCCTTACCAGTGGTACCTGGGTCCGTCATCTAGCGGGTGGAGCCTCCTGAGCCAATCCCTTTGACAACGCTTCCTCAGCGGGCCTGCAGCACCGATTCCGTCTCGTTCGTCTCCGCCGATCCATTGGCTTGGTTCCCCATCCCCGACCCAAGCACGACAACGGGCTTTGACTCTTGCCAAAACTCCGCAATTTTCGTTGGAAGCTAATTAAACCCGCCCAACGCCTCTTTGCTTCGAGCTATCGCAGGGACCGACTTTTGCCCGCACCACCCGACCTCTGCCCCGACCCCGCGCAGCGAAAACGAGCCGCAGAGAAACGAACAAGCAAACAAGAGGACCGACGTTCTGGCTTGACAACCAGTTAAACCTGCCGCCTGCCGTCTGCTGCCTTCACACCCCCCCCACACCTACCGATCGGCTTGTTGACATCATGGCCGACGACCCGCACAACACAAGCGAAATTTCGGATCATGCCGAGCCCGCTGCTGTCGTCGCAAAAGAGGACGCCGAGACCACCGCCGCACGGCGTGAGCTCAAGCAAACCACCATTTCCGAGAAGCGGGGGCGCGATGCCGTGCAGCTCTCGCAGGACGACAAGAGTGCCTCGGAGGATGAAGGGCCCAAATCCAAGTCCCGGCGGCTCACACCGCCCATCAGTCTGAGCGCGTCAAGTGACGACATGTTGAAAGCGCAGATTTCTTCACCCAAGAAGAAGCGAGCCCACGATGAGGTGGACGAGAATAAGGATGTTGCCGAGGCCCCGCTCGGAGGAACGCCCAACAAGGCTGCCAGTCCAACAACGGTCCCAAACAGGACGAACCGGTCTGAGCCCGAGAAGAAGCGACCACGGGACCGCCAAGCAAGTGCATCCGCCGTGCAGGGCGGGAAGGAAGAAGTGGTAAGTAACCCGCTCAGCCCCGCGGCGACCCACGGTGGTAACACAAATCAGGAACCTCTCTCTGCCAGCGCATCACCGAGGTCGAGCATGGAGCAGACAGAAGCGCGAGACTCGCCCACCATGTCCGACGCCACACGGCCCAAGCAAACATCAAGTTCGGCCTTTGCTAGCTCCGGCTTTGCCAAACTCGCAGCCTCGTCAACCTCGCCGTTTGGTAGCTTCGGCGGCCCAGGAAAATCCAGCCTGTTTGGTTCGTCGTCGGGGCCCTCCTCCTTGGGCGGTGTTCTCGGCGGCTCCAAGCCGGCCGCCCCCCTCAGCACCCCCGAAACTCAGCTTCGGCGGAGCTGCCGCCTCGTCTCCGTTCGCCGGGCTAAACGGGCAGAGCACCACCGGTTCGGTGTTTAAGTCGAGCCCCTTTGCGAGCGCTCTTGGCGGCAGCGCCCTGTCAGGGCCGCGCATCAACTTTGGCAAACCTGGCGAGGTCCTTAAGAGCGACAAGCCGGCCAAGCCGTTCGGTGCGCCAGACAGCGACGCCGAGGATAAGTCGGAGGAGGAAAGCAACGAGGACGAGGACGCCAAGGGTGATGCCTCGTCGGATGATGAGGCTAAGGAAGAGGATGGGGATAGGGAGGCGTCCAAGGGAGCTGAGGAGAAGAAGAAGCCCAAGTTGCAGAAGAGTAAGCGCGCTCGCCCCTCTATCGTATGCCCCGGCCTTTACTAACCTTCCTAGTTGTGGTCGACGACGGTGAGGGCGAAGAAAGTGACTCTTTTCTCCGTGCGGGCCAAAATGTACCTCATGGAAAAGGACGTTGGGTGGAAGGAGCGTGGCGGGGGTATGCTCAAAATCAATGTGCCCAAGTCAACAGTCGATCTGGACGACAATGGGGTGCCCGACCCGACCTCCTTCGACGCCTCGGTTCTAGCGGACGAAGACGACGACCAGCTGAAACACGTCCGGCTCATCATGCGGCAGGATCACACCCTGCGTGTCATCTTGAATACCGTACTCCTGCCGGCCATGAAGTTCCAGGTCACCAACCGGCTCAAGACGTCGACTGTGGGGTTCACAGCATTTGAAGAGGGCGTGGGGCGCCAAGTGCAAATGAAGGTGCGTAGAAATTCACACAACGTCTTACGGTTGATACAAAAAGAATCCTCTGTTGACGATTTGTAGCTGAGCGAGGTCAATGCCACGGCATTCTCGCAGATCATAGAGATGTTGAAGAAACGGCTTGCCGATGTTTAGGTGCGGCCCCGGCGGCCAGCCATGATGTACTTCCTCAACAGGATAACCGCGCTCCTTATTCCCTTCCCTTTGTCTCGGCACGCAAGAGCGCCTGACCTGGTTACAATTTGTTGGTAACGGGGCCATCAGGGGAAGATGGTTACCATGCATTTTCGGTAAAAGGAGGGTGTTTGCGGCATTGGGAGGTTACCTTCGACGGGTCCGGCCTGGCGGGGGGTTTCTTTGCAACAAGGGCCCAAAAGAACTACGTTACCAACCTACCTATGGTGGGTTTTTTATGGGAGGTGTCTCTCGGGTTCTGTCGGTTTCTGTACCTATACTCTACTTACAACGGTTGGATGGCCCGCCGTCCTCTCCGAGCACCGATATACCTTAGCGCCCTCTATTTTGGGGCAGTAGACAGGGCAGCAGCAGCGCTAGATGGGTAGCGGGCGACGGAAATAGTTGTATTCTTATTAGCACTCGTGTCAAATAAAGCATTTGAATTTAGCTTTCCTGGGATACCTACGTTTGGTGGAGTAAAATGTCTGAGTGGTCATTGTTAGGGACACCACGTGCAGTCCCGCCACTTTCGCGAACCACTTAACGCGCTCAATCGCGTCTCCCGACACCCAGCACCCATCAAAGACATCCCTTTTCCAACTTCCAACTCCACATCAAGGAATCAGAAAACATCCGCGGGGAAACACCATGCCCATAACCAACGATGAAATTGCCCCGGGGGCGATAAGTCTCGGCAAGCGCAAGCGCGGCCGCACCACCGACGGACCACGGCCGAGCCCAAGCCCATCGCAGAACACACCACCATCTCTCGAGACAGGATCAACCAATGCCAGCGATACACCCACACCAAACGCATCAGCCCCCAAGAAACCCGACGAAAACAAAACCAAGACCAAACGGGCGAAAAGCAAAGCCCCAAAACCAACCTCAAAACAATCATCAACCCCCTCCTCTTCCCCTTCGCCCTCCTGGCCCCTTTACCTAATCCACATCGAAAAGGTCCACCGCGCCCTGAACCTCGTGTCGACGTTTGTCTCGGCCCGGCGCCAGGTCGCGCCCACGCTGGAGACGCTGCGCCCGGCGGTCGAGGCTCATCTGCGGTGTGGGTTGGTGGTGGAGGATGTTGCTGGGGTTGTGGCATTGAGGAGGGGCGGGGGGGTTGGGGATGGGGGTGGTGGTGGAGGTGGTGCGGATGGAGATGGTGGAAGTGGGAGTGGGAGTGGGAGTGGGAGTGGGAGTGGGAGTGGGAGTGGGAATGGGGGTAACGCCAATGGGAGAAACAGCGGGATCAGGTTTGAATACGTCAGTGAAACCGACTTAGCCCTCTCCATGGGGGCCGTCGAGGCCGAGCGCGAGCGGGAGTACCTCGTTCAGGACAGTGAGGCGGCCGGGCCAGGCCGGGATGAACAGGTGCTGGTGTTTGAGTTTCTGGATGCCGAGTTGACCGAGTCCAAGGGCGTCAAGGGGCGCGGCGGAGAGGACCGTATGCGGATGCCTGTCTTCAGCCAGGCGCAGATGATGCGCTTGATTGAGCGGCGGAATGCCAAGTTTGTGCAGGCTGTCAACGAGTTTGTTGACCGCTGCGTTGTCGGGGGGCTGGATCCGGAGATGGTGCTGAAGGATGCGAGGGAGGCGTATGTTCCCAAGATGGCCGAGTTTGAGGTGGAGGAACCTGGGAAACTGACCAGCACGCTCCCGGCGAGCATACCCCGCGAGAGGAAGAGCATACCCGAGATTGTCCAGGAGATCAAGGACAGCCCGTGGTACACCGGGCAGATCGTGCCTGACGGGCACAGGGTGTTTGAAGCACAGGATGCGGTCTACGGGGACCTAGATTTTCTGCTCAGCCAGGACCTGGTCAACACCCTGTACAACACCAAGGGGATTACGAGATTCTTTGCGCACCAGGCTGAAGCCATCAACGCGCTGCATGAGGGGTACAATGTCGTCGTGGCGACGTCGACGAGCTCAGGCAAGTCACTCATCTATCAGCTCCCCGTGCTGCACGCTCTAGAACAGGACCACAACACTAGAGCCATGTACATCTTCCCGACGAAAGCCCTAGCTCAGGACCAGAGGAGGAGTTTAAGAGAGATGGTAGGCTTCATGCCGGGGATGGGAGATGTGCTTGTGGAGACGTTCGATGGGGACACGCCCATGAGCGAGAGGAATGTCATCCGCGATGATGCGAGGATTATTTTCACAAACCCAGATATGTTGCACATTACGATCTTACCCCAGGAGGACAGATGGCGAACGTTTCTAAAAAACCTAAAATATGTTGTCGGTAGGTCTTGCATGCCGGGGAAGTTTGGACCGCGAGACTGACAGCAGCAGTTGACGAACTACATTATTACAACGGCCTTATGGGATCTCATGTCGCCTTTATCATGAGGAGGCTGCGTCGGACATGCGCTGCGCTTGGTAACAGACATGTCAAGTTCATTTCGTGTTCGGCAACAGTCGGGAACCCAGAGGAGCACTTTAAGAAGATATTCGGCATCGAGGATGTGCGGCTGGTCGACTTTGACGGGTCTCCGTCCGGTAAGATCTGGATCGCCCAGGGGCACCAAGGCAACATGCTAACAATTGTCTACAGGACGCAAAGAGTTCCTGTGCTGGAACACTCCCTACAAAGACCCCGGGGACCCAGCAAGCGGGCGCGGAAACGCAATGCTCGAGTGCTCTCGACTGTTCTGCGAGCTGATCCTTCGTGGTGTCAGGGTAATAGCCTTTTGTAGGGTTCGCGAGCAGTGCGAGAAGCTGGTAAGTGCGGTCAAACAGGAGCTAGTAACCCTTGGCCGCAGCGAGGTCGTCGCGCGGGTCATGGGCTACCGCGGGGGATACACGGCCCAGGACCGCCGGCAGATCGAGAGCGAGATGTTTGAAGGGAAGCTCCTCGGCATTGTTGCCACAACTGCGCTAGAACTCGGCGTTGATATCGGAACGCTCGACTGCGTACTTACCTGGGGATTCCCGTACACCATCGCCAACCTCAGACAACAGAGCGGGAGAGCCGGCCGAAGAAACAAGGACTCGCTTTCCATCCTCGTCGGTGACGGTTTCGCCACGGATCAGCACTACATGCAGAATCCAGACGAGCTCTTCACCAAGCCGAATTGCGAGCTGCAGGTGGACCTGGACAACATGCTCGTCAAGGAAGGCCACGTTCAATGCGCAGCCTATGAGATGCCCATCCGACCAGCCGAAGATGCCACCTACTTTGGCAACGACCTCCCCCAGCTCTGCTCAGAGCGCCTTATCCAGGACGAGACGGGCTTCTACCACTGCCACCCCCGCTTCCGGCCGCTCCCCTCCCGGTTCGTGTCGATCCGCGACACGGAAGAAGACCACTTCGCCATCATCGACACGACAAACAACCGCAACGTCGTCCTCGAGGAACTCGAAGCCTCACGCGCGACCTTCACCCTCTACGACGGCGCCATCTTTTTACACCAAGGTAACACCTACCTAGTCCGCGACTTCAACCCGGACAAGCACCTCGCGCGGGTGGAGCGGGTCAAAGTCGACTGGCTGACCTCGCAGCGCGACTACACCGACGTGGATCCCGTGGAGACGGAAGCCGTCAAGCGCATCACGGGATCGCGGTCGCGGGCCTTTTACGGCACGATCCGCATCCGGCAAGTCGTCTTTGGCTACTTCAAGGTAGACGCGCGGCGCAACAACCGTATCGTAGACGCCGTCGACGTCGACAACCCGCCCGTGATCCGTTACAGCAAGGGCATGTGGCTGGACGTGCCCCAGCGCGCGCTCGACATCCTCTCAGCACGGCGTCTCAACGCCGCCGCGGCCATCCACGCCGCCCAGCACGCGCTCGTGAGCTTGATCCCCAATTTCGTCATCAGCACCCCCGGCGACGTGCGCACCGAATGCAAGAGCGGGCGCAAAGAGCTCTCCCACAACAGCAAAAAGCGCGAAACCCAACGCAAACGCCCCGCGCGCCTCACGCTGTACGACGCCAAAGGCGGCGCCGGCGGCTCCGGCATCAACACCAAAGCCTTCGAATTCATCGACCTGCTCCTGCAACAGCGCGCGCGCGCGTGGTGGCCTGCCCCTGCGCGTGCGACGCCGGCTGCCCGGAGTGCTGCGCGTCGGCGACGTGCGGCGAGATGAACGAGGTCATGAGCAAGGCCCGGCTGCGAGGTGGTGCTGCGCGCGCTGCTGGACGAAGAGATCGATGTGGACGCGCTGCCCATGGGGCCTGAGGAGAGCGCGCCTGTCGGGCTGGAGACGGTGGTGTTGGCGGAGGCGGTGCCGGCGAGGGATGGGCAAGGGCTGGTGGTGGGAGGGGGCGATGGGGATGGGGATGGTGATGGTGCTGGCGAAGGTGCTGGCGACGGCGATGGCGGCGGCGTTGGCGGGGACAGTGGAGCGAGTCAGTGACGGAATGGAGATAAGCGGGGCCGGCCGTTGATGATTATTTTAGGCTACCATCGCCGAGTCTTGCCGAGCCCGAAGCTGATCTTGGCCGGCGGCGTGTGCCGCTGACTGCCGTGGGTGCCTTTTGGCCTCGGAACGGCGCGGTTGTGGGGCTGTTTGATTTACTCTGTACCAAAAATGACAAACAAGATTGTCAGAGCATCGTATCTTTCTTTTCCCCAGCTTGACGAGAAAATCCCCCAAAAGGCATTGAAGCTAAGCTTTGCCGGACCCACGCCATTGGTGAAATCTGCGCCTGGCCTCGGCCGATCTGCACTCAACCCCTGGTCTCAGCTCCAGCGCGACGCAGCTAGACAGGGACCACAACCCCCAAATTAAAAGCTTAAAAAACTTGTTCACGAGAATGGAATGGCTGTCCCCTGCCCGTTCCGAGACAGTTGGATGATGTTCGGCTTGCTGCACGTCAGCGGCTGAGGGATAGCCAAAGCCAACAGCCAACAACTCGATCTTCAAGATTCGTACAGAGTATGTGCAAGCGAGGCGCATTGGACCAACGGCGGCATGGTTTTGATGTAATCCTGTTGTTTGGTTGTTGACTGCCGACGGGGGTGGCGTTGCGCCTTCTTTCTCACCCGCCGCGATCCATAAAAAACTCCTGAAACGGGAGCCAAGCAACGCGCGCCAGGTGGCTTGGGAAAGGCGCGAATGAGGGACGCTACGGGCGCCATGTTTTATTTTCTCCACGGAGGTCCTGCCGAGATCCCTTGATGGTTGGTTCCTTCTCTGTTCCTGGGTTGAGTTTACCCCAGACCATCCTGCCGGGCTCGCGTTACTTAGGAGTGGGCTTCCCGTCCCCGGCAAGACGAGTCGAGTTTCAAGTTGAACACGGCCGACCTCCTTTTTGTGCAGTTAGTCCTTCCAAATTGCATGTGTATTTTTTCCCACGGCATCTGAACTGGACGACATCAGACAGAAGGAGTTAAACACCATTTCACTTCCACGACGACCACCACCACTGCACAATGGCGACAAACTCACCACCACCCCCAAACGCTACAACCACAGCAATCCTCCCGGTCACCAACCCTCCCCCCAAACTCTTCCTCCTCCTCCCCAACACCCGAAGGAGAGAAGCCGAAGCCCGCCCAGCACCAACAAACCACGCCGACGACCCCCTCCACGCACAATGGCCTGCTCAGCCCGTTGCCGCTGCACAGCGCCGAGGTGGGCCTGACGCGCGAGCTGACGCCCGTGGAGCGCATCCAGCGCATCTTCGCGGTGCGCGCGTCGGGCGACGCCGGCCGCTCGGGCGTGCACCCGACCATGTTCCTGCGCAACGTCTTCCGCTCCGCCAGCTGGGCCTCGCGCATCGTCAACGTGCTGTGGCCCGTCGTGCCTGCTGCTATTGCGGTGCGCTACGCCATGCCGGATAACCATCTGGTGATTTTTATTCTGAGCTATTTGGCCATGGTGCCGTGTGCGAATTTGATTGGGTTCGCGGGCCAGGAGTTGAGTCGCAAGTTCCCGCATGTGATGGGGGTCATTATCGAGACTACGTGAGTTTGCTGCTGCTCTGTATGGGTGAGGATGGGGGGGGGGTGTGGCATGGGGCGCTGACTGGAAATAGGTTGGGGAGCGTGGTTGAGATCATCATGTTCATCGTGCTGATCACCCGGCCGGCAAACCCAAAGATCGACTACATCCAGGTGATCCAGGCCGCGATTCTGGGGTCGGTGTTGGCCACCATGCTGCTATGCCTTGGACTGTGCTTCGTCGCGGGCGGTCTGAAGCGGGAAGAGACGCATTTCAACGAGGCCGTGAGCGAAGCCGGAAGCGGGTTGCTTCTGACGGCGTGAGTTCAACCTCCTTGAAAGTTGGAGTACCTGCTTATGAATAACTAACAATATACACAGCGGCTTCGGCCTGGCCATCCCCACCGTCTTCGAACACAGCCTCAGCGGCAAGATCCCGCAGGACGAGCTCATCGACAAGACCATCGAGATCTCGCGCAGCACCGCCGTTTTGCTCATGATCGCCTACCTCATCTACATCTTCTTCCAGTCCCAAACCCACCACGGCATCTATGATGCCATCTTCGTGGCTGACGAGGAGCGCGACGCCGACAAGCACCTGGAGCGCAAGCACCACCGCCTGACCTTTACTGAGTGCTGCATCGCGCTGACCGTGGCCATCGCCCTCGTCACCATCATCGCCATCGCCCTCGTCGATCAGATCCACTACCTCGTTGAGGAGCGGGGCGTGTCGGACGCCTTCGTCGGCCTCATCCTCATCCCGCTGGTCGAAAAAGCGGCAGAGCATTTGACGGCCATCGACGAAGCCTACGACAACCAGATGAACTTTGCCCTGTCGCACGTGCTAGGTGCCACGCTGCAGACGGCCCTCTTCAACGCCCCGCTCGTCGTCATTGTCGGCTGGGGGCTGGGCAAGCCCATGGGGCTCAATTTTGAGGTCTTTGACGTTGTTGTGTTGTTGTTGGCCATCCTCACCGTCGGCAACTTCTTGCGCGACCAGAAGAGCAACTACCTCGAGGGCGCCCTGTGCGTGCTGGTGTATGTTGGAATTGCCGTAGCTGCGCTGTATTATCCGAACCCGCACACCATTGCGGCGGCGGAGGGGGGTGGCGAGCATCACTGAGCTTTGTAGAGGGCTGGTTTTTTGTTGGGCGTGTTTTTTGGAAGCGGCATGTTGATACACTTGCGGTTGAGTTGATATACACTTACGGCGGGATTTTTGAGGATAGTACCATTGAACATCGGGCTTTTTACCCAGGTGGCAAGTGGCATTAGACCTTTTGCCATTGAGACCATAATACAATCCAAATTCTCCTTAAAAGACCCCCGGTATCAGTATGATGATATTGAGCGCAAAGAATGGTTGCAGCAGCCACCCGCACATGGAATAGCTCTTACAACCGTGATGAATATTTTACAAGGCCACGCCAGCACGAACCCCGCCCCCTCCATCCCGCGAAAAGACTTGACCGCACCAACCCACCCAGCCTTAGCTAATAAAGCAGAGGCACCCCAGGCCGAGATAGAAGACGAAGAGCGGATATACTGCCAGGCCGACCCTGTTCTTGACCACGCCGCTCCCGCCGAGGATACTCACGCCCGCGGCCAGGGACCAGGCCACCAGGACGAGATAGACCGGGATGCGCGCAATCCAGTGTAGCCGCAGGGCTGACAGCAGCGCGGCCACGACGAGCGGGAACAGGGTGTAGCCAATGCACGCAGATGCTCTGCGCGAAGGAGCTGCCGAGTGTCAATACCGCGGAGGTGAGGAGGGGAGAGGGGATAAGCCAAAGACTCACATATTCCCCCCCAACAACTTGATCTGCACCGTCACAACCGCCATGCCCACCCACACCATGGCAAACACCCCACTAAACACCACCTCCCGCTGCTCCTCCCGACTCTGCAGACACAACAACGTACTCAACAACAAACAAAACACCAACGGGCCCCCACAAATCCCAATTCCCTCAACCCCCCGCCCCGCAGCATACTCCCCGGCCGCACCACTCCCACCTGCACTTCCCACCACCCCCCAACAAACTCTCCGCATCCAACACCCTTCCCGCCAACCCCGCCAACTCCTCCCTCGCCCCCGCAAACCCCCCGCTCCGCAGCGAGGCGTACGCGCCCCGCAGCGAGTCCGGCCCGCCCCACGCCGCGAACAGGTGCCGCGGGTACAGCACCTCGAGCAGCTTGCGCCAGACGGCGAGCAGGTCGCGCCGCAGCGTGGCCCACACGGACTCGTCGATGGTGGAGGGCGACGCGGCCGACGCCGTCGTCCGGTCTTCGCCGGGAATGCGCGACGTCCAGGAGGAGGCGTGCCCCGAGCTGCGGCTGCCGATGCTGCCGGTTAGGCCGGGGGTGGTGGTGTTGGTGGTGGTGGTGGTGGTGGTGCGGGAGGTGGTGGGTTGGGAGAGGGGGTCGTCGAAGGTGTTGAGGTCGGCTGGAGTGGAGGGGGTGGGTTGGTTAGTGGTTTGGTTTTGGTTTGAGGTGGAGAAGGGGGGAGAGGGGATTACCATCATCGGGGTCGATCAGGTCGTCGTCGTCGTCGATGTCGACGGCTGGGACGTTTTGGTAGTCGCGGCGTTTTGGTGCGGCCATGTTGGTATGGTTGGGTCAGACCCGAGAGGCTGGGCGTTGGGAATTTTCGCTATTAAAAGAAGGATCGGAGGGGTCGTGGGGTTGCGGATTGATTCAGTCGCCGTCGTCGTTTCGCGCGTGAAGTTGTTAAAGGGTCCACGGTTGCCTCAAGCTTGCGTTGCGCAAGTGGGCTGGTGCTGTAGGGGTCTTGGCAAGCTGGCCCAAGCTCCTCCGCATTGGATGCAAGGAATGTGGGGTGGGGATCTTCTCTCCATGAATTGGAAAATTACAAGTGCATTTACGGGACCCAACAGCATCGAAAACCCGGTCAATACGTCTTCCCAAGCGGACAGGCTGACTCCTATGCCAGTGATATGTAATTAACATGCTGCGTAAGTCGTAGTCTCGCGGACGTCTAAAAGATTTTGCAGTGCAGCCCAGAATCCCCAGCAAGATCCTCTCACCACTTAAACTGCTGGTCATACGCTTGAGTCGGAGCCGAAGGACCGGCGTGTTAACCTCGGATTTGTAAGTACAATGTCGAATACACAATACATTGTTATCTCAAAGTAAGCGGGAGAAGCGTCCAGCAGTGAACAATTGACTGGTTTATATGCCCGAGCCAACATCGGCTTCAACTGTGAGCCAACGAGATCAGCAGAGGCTAACGGCCAGTGTGGATGCAACGGTATGCCGATCGGTTGTTGCCGGGATGATGGTCCGTGGATATGCAGTCTACGGTCTAGTCTCTATTCTAGCTGTCTCGGAGTTATTGATAACTAGAG